CCCGCAAGGAAAGTCCGGGACTAGTTCTCAAATCGGTACAGATTTTATAGTGTTAGGTACTTTATCAGCGGTAGTTTGCTTTACTTTCCAATGTATTCGGTGCAATCGACATGCGGGCATCGTTTCACTGTTACGTGTAACAACTTTACAAGAAACAATAGGATATTTTGAAACCTAAATCCGTTTGTGTAACTAGTTTTTTATTTGAGATGCAGTCGTATCAAGATTTGGAGTGCTGCTGTTGCCAAGTAACGTGAAGGTCAAACATGTCCCCACGAAAGAGGTCAGCTCATATAGTTTAGGATACCTGTTAAAGAAACATGCTTGTCTATGTCTACTTGCAGTATTAAGAATAACAAGAATATTCCTTATTTAAATTAAACTTATTTGCCTTCAGGGTACAAGGAATTCCAAGATATAATAAAATGGAAGCTGCCCATAGTCTAACATTAAATTATAAAAAACCAATTATGTCTCATCGAGCTGCGTAATGATTTAACAACGATTTTCCTACATATACGACTAATGCTCTAGTTTCTAGAAACAATAAAATAAGTGGAAAAGTGTACATCAATAGCATTGCATATAATACGTATAATTAGGATGTCTGTAAAGCAGCGCCGGCGCACCTGTACGAGAAATTGAAAGTTTAATTGTCAACCTCGAGGTTCAACCTGTATTGTACTGTTATTCTATGTTAATATAATCTGTGCCATTTCAGAACTCAAATATATAAGAAAAAAAGTTGTGAATTAGACTATTTTTGACTGTCAAAAAGAAACTCAAATAACCGAAAAACTAATCGGAATAGGCCGTATTTTTGGCTAACCAAAATAACACTCATAATATTCCTACAATTGAAAACTGAATGGTTTTATTCCAAATTTGTTTCAAGTGAATGATAGTATAAAGTACAAAAGCCAGTGAGTACTGAGTACTGTGTGAGGTGAACGACTCTCCCGCCATTACAGCAACCGCATCATTACGGCAGAAGCCGGCAGAGGCCCCGCGCCACAACCTTTCATAACGTTTTTTATCCCCCACCTCCAACCGTTGTTGACAAACCCGTTGAAAAACTCAGCCCCAGAACAAATTACGTTGCGTTCCATTAACGTAATGAAAATATTCGCTAGTACCTATGCATTATGTGTCATGTAAACAAATAACGTTATTGAATGTTCTTGAAAACGTTTTTATTTACGTTTTGCTTCGTTTAACAGTCTTTATGTGAAGAAACCGACTATATTCGTAATAAAAGTATATCCATGCATATTTCTTCGTACATTTCAATACAAGGGAACACCGGCAGAACATCAAAGCTACATCTAAATGAACGGCCGGCTATAGGAGCACACGTTCCTCTTTATCGGCCATCTTCCATTGTTGGCACGCCCGACACATTTACAACTACCCACCACGCACACATAAGTAGAAAATTTACTATATAGAATATTAATGTATGAAATGTGCATTGATTTTTATTATTCAAAATGTTGATAGAATCTCATCCTCTCACGTAATAAAGTGGTAAACGTCTGTGTGTGTCTTCATGTATGTGTGTGAGTGTATGCGCGTGCGCACGCTAGATAAAAACGTATCATTTGAATGTCCAGCAGTCCTTGCGCGCATAATTATGTCTTACTTGGAAATTGTTGCAAGTCTTTGTATCATGCCATTGTACCGTACTTAGGTAAGTATGGAATGAGACTTTGCCATAGATAAGTGGACTGTCATTGTCATACTGTAATAGATGCCGCAAGCTTTTTATCTTTTTTTTGTCGTATGCTTACGATACTGAGTGAGTTATAGTTACGCTACTTTGAGAAAATACTTAGGTATTTTAAGGCTTTTACAGTTGATTTTAGTAACTGATGTCAGTCCAAAATCTCTGGATGCAGATCCATGGTTTTACAGAAATATTAAAGAACTAATGCCAAAATGCACTATTTTTTTCTTTGTTTCTTGGCCTGTATGGGGAAGGGAGTGTCAGACTCCTACTGACTAAAAACTATCCCGTTCCATCTCCTGCTTTGAATAAGGTTTCAGAATCTCAGCGCTTTTGGGTTGAGATCGTTTATTAATTTCAGTGGTTATTCAATCTTGAATATAATGGTGGGGGTTAGTTAATAATAAAATGGTGGGAATTATGGCAGCAATGAAAAAACATTAATTGCATTGTAATATTTAATTGACTAACAAATAAATTCATATCATCTCAAATTGACATTAAAAACGTTTCCATAAGTACTTAATAATTTTTATATAAATTATTTCCTTTTTTATTTTCTTTAACGAGTGATGTGCTCAAGTCAAAATTATATTAAGGCAAAATTTGTTTATTTAATTTATCTTTTTGAAAGTCCCCAGTTTCAGGCCACGACCGAGGTTCAAAATCAATGAAATTAATCGAGCTATTTCGTACCATATTAGAATGCCTTCAAATTGGTAATAAACATTCAAATAACTTGTGTTATAAAGATCTGAATAGCCATTATTGTATTATTCTGAGACAGCTGTAGGTACGTTGCGTGTCCATCTTAATTATTACAGTAATTATGACTCGAGCACATTAATTACAATTACTCGTTAAAGTTCGAATTCTGGCAGTTTCATAAGGTACGTGGAATAACAAAAATAATCCGATTTCTGAAATGGCGCAAAAATACTACATTTTAATTGTTTAAAAGTTGTAAGTAAATCAAAGAAATTCTTCAAGTTTATTATTACATACAGCTTCCTTTTAACGAAGACAGAATCTGCTTATTTTTTTTTATAATTCGCCGATTCAGAAATCGCTGCATATTAAGAGACGCTAGACAAATAATTTCCATTTACTTACTTAACCTAGGTAATTAATTTATAAGATACTATATCACATTTTAACAATAACCAAAGCTAGCATTATTTTATAGTATTTACATTAAACTAGCGTTGCAAAATTGTTTAAAAGGTGCATGTGGTATAAATATTTTATATATTGACTATTGATAGATATAGACATTTACTCAATAAATATACTAAAAGATCATTAGAACCAACAGCTTAATAAAAAGCCAAACTTATTAAAATAGAATTTTCGCATCGCATTGCGGTTTACTAAAGAACTATTTTATTCATACAAAATTGCTTAGCGTCGGAGTGCCTAAAGCGACTACAGCGCCACTCTGGTAGGTGCTTTATATTGTGGTATTAGACCTAAGAGTTTAAAAATATATCTTTATTGTAAAACTATGTAAACTGTGCATGTTTTATTTTAGTCCATATTTGCATTTAAATTACTGCAGAAACTAATATGGTGCCTCAAACATCTGTATAAGGATGGTAGCCTTTACCTATTACTTAAACTACTATTATAGGCCGTTAAGTTCTCCTTATAAATATAAGCATGCCCTTGATACATAATTAAAACGATTACATAAATTCAAGACTATACACTAAGTACTAAAATAAAATTGTCTTGCCAAGTAAAAAAATAAATAAAAATTATAGAAAATATATACAAAATAATGCACATGTCCACTGGAATGTATATTATGACACAGTTAAAAATAAAAAATCAGAGAGCCTCTTGGTTTACCTATTATTGCAACTTATTTAATCGATTTTGAATTCTATTCCATGTATACAAGTACTGTACGAATGGCAAAACAGCTTTGTATTTACAAAACTAACTTAGAACATATCTTATAATTAACGCAATAAAAGTCAAAATTGATTGAACAATTGAACAAGTAATAAGGATGCGTGGTTAATTAAATGTTATTTAGCATAGTGTGGTTATAAATGAATTACATTTCGCGTTACACGCTATCCATATATCAACTATCCGGGATTTCTTAGATCTTTCATTCAAATGAAAATAGGCAAAGCGTCAATGTAATACGATTTTTATAAACATTACAGTCTTATGTTATAATTTATGTATATTTTAATTGTATTTTTACGCATATTAAACGTCATTGGTGTTTAAGCGGTGGCTTATCCTTAACATTAAATACTAGGCCTAGCACTGTAAGAAGCTCAGATTTGTTTACTAAAATACATACAATGACTAAATAGATTATATTATTACTAATTAATTAAGAACAGTTATCCTCAACCTTTGAGCCTTATAATCATTTAAGGCTATTTATTAGACAAAATTGACCAAAACATATCAAAGAATGACAGTGCCAAAGGTTGAGAATTTCTGCATAAAGTTTTAAAAACACAGACAGAGATACACAACATTTATATTTAGATGGGAGTTGTTTAAAAAAATTCATAATATTTATAAGGGGCACGCGTATCTTTGATTATAGGCTAGTTGTGGCTCAGTACCGATATTACTTAGGAACAGAGCCATAAATGCATCTGTTTTATACAAATACGTAAAAATTTTTTGGTCATGTAATATTGAATTTTAACATGAATAACATATTTTTATATTTCAAAATTAATCTATAAACAAGAAACACCCTCTAAAACACTATTAATGTTTTTAATGCTGATTTTTCAATGTTTAGACAAAAGTTATTTGGGGAATAATTATGATGCTGTCGCGTCAGAATGTTTGTATAAGACAATGACAGCAACAATTTTATTCCTCAGATATCATTTATCTGACTATTGGACAATCGGTCCTTAATGAAATAAATGTCATAAATATTTTAAAATTTTTATATTATCTGTACAATTGACAGGTAATAGAGTAATTCAGACATTTAATGTTCAAGATATCAGATCCAAAGTGTTATAGCTAAGCTGCATTACAAAATCTTAAAGCTTTGTAAATTCATATACATACTTGCATGCGAGAACTTACACTAAAGAATAAATTTTTAACTAAACAATGATATTTTGGTAACTATATAACATTGTAAGTGATGTTGAGTTTGATGTTTACAGAAAAATGTTTTAAAGTGGTTAAGATTTCTATGTACTTAGCCTTTTAATTCAATAAAATAAAAAAATATTATATTTAAAATTAAAAAAAACTGATTCATAATATATGAACATATCATAAGAAAAGCGGGTTGGAACGACGATTTCATGTGTCCATTTTAACTTAAAAATCATGTATATAACTGTTCACTTACAAAATATTCCGAAAACATTTTTAACTAACTTTTGGAGATGTTATTACAAAAATTGTTCAAGCCGAAATTAGGTCGTCGTTGGAAAAAACCCTTAAATTTTTTAATCTAATTTCAAAATTAGCGTAAAGAGTATTATTTACTAATTCTCTCTGCTTTTTAACAGCGTAGGCTTTTAATACAATACAAACAGCTTAATACAATAACGATGACATTTACATATAAATCGTGTTCATTTTTGTTATTTATTATAATTGGTGTTATGTACTTAGGCCACGGCAGTTTATTACAAGGGTTTTTCAAAGATCTGCCGGAGTGGTTCGATTAATCAATTATGTAAATAGTATGGTTATTTTGGAATTAAGAATTGGGCAAAGCTTGTCGCTAAATACGTTACGCATCTGTTAGGTAGCAAAACTTTTTAAGTCATTGCGTGCATAACCTTGAGTCTCACTAGCGCCATATTATGGTTGCAAAAACAACTTTATTTATACATTTTTTATAACAATGGTAAAGAGTCCTTTTAGAACGAACATTAAACTTTAAAAATCGTCTTTATCGGCCTGTTAATTTATTGCATTGCAGCTTGAAATAATTTAAGTTCATTGAAAAATTTTTTGGTGTAAATGAAAGCATATAAAAACTGTGATAGTTATCTTTCTGTCGTATTTAGACTTTTAAGTATAGACTATACACTTCACGAATCTACACTTCACAAGTTCATTGGTAACGATTTTGTCCCGAAAACTTTGCATTTAAACTTATTGGTGGGATTGTGTTGCAATCTATATTATTAAATAAAAAAGAAATAGCATTTTATAAACATCTCTCTGCACAGTTTTAAATAATTCTCTTTCGATTACTTAATTTATAAGGTCGAATCTTTAAAGTATCTCGCGAAATTATTATTTTTCTCTTGATGTGTAAAACAATTATACCTATAAAGCCATTGATATATTATTCTTTAAATGACCGTATTTTGCTGATGGTAATGGTAATATAAAATTTAATAATAGTGAATACATGCTATTACCGCTATTATATGTAGTATTATCACATTTATATTCTACACCGATCGGAAGATATTATTAAGTTTCGTGGGCTACTTAAAGCACCTTCTTAAATGACATACACTATCTGGTGTTAAATATATCGACTTTAAAAAGATATCATTTTATGTGATATTGCGATTATTTATTCTTAAAAAACTTTTTTGGTTCGGCCTTTTTCTAGAAGAGTTTTAGGCTAACCATGAGTTGTATACGAGCCGCTTTGGCTGATGGTCTTTCCAAAGGTCGATTCGGTCGAGATCAATTCTTATCGGCTAGCGTTTAATTAACCACTTGACTACAGTAATTTAGACCATATTATATACACAAATTAACCAACTGTTTTGGCCTATGTTTAGTTTTGGTTTATGTTTAGATAAATGATTTTAAAAAGTTCGGATAGAAGTTTAAAAAATAAAAAAAGCGTTCGTTCAAGGTTAAATTTGAACCAAAAAGACTGCACTAACAATTTATACTGGTTCGATATCTCCAATTCCTAAGTAATGCTAGCTACACTATGTACAAGTGACTAGTGGTTACTTATCGTCAGGTTTGGGCCCGTAGTACTGCGACGCGATGTCGAAGAGCTCCCGTCGCAACTGTTGCGCGTGCGCACGCAGTTGTTGTTCGCGGGCGCGAATGTTGCTATACTGTTCCTCTCGTTCCTCTGTGTTCTGTTTTACTAACCACCGGAGGTATAGTTCTGAAATTACGAAAGTATTGTTATTTAATATGATGTCAAATTAAGGGTATGTTGGACATTATGAATATACTAGATCAGCTGAACTTGAAGCAAGTTTAATTTCCGCATGGAACACCTTTTTGTGTAATCCATAAATATAAGTGTGGGAGAGCCATGCTTCGGTACAAATGAGCCGGCTCGATCGGAGTGATACCACGGCTTCTCAGAAAACCGGCGGCAAGCGATACTTACGTTGTGTTTCGCCATGTGAGTGACTAGGGGCCCAATTCTTCCTTTCCCCTCCACCCCATCCACAATTTTCAAATCTCCTATCCTTTAATTAACCTTACGGAGGCCACGAGAGGCCGGCAATGCACTTGTACTAACTCCTATTGTACCACGAGTGCATGGGCGGCGCTCTGATTGCCTATCAATGGGAAATATGTCTACCCGTTTGCACACTTACGAAAACCAAAAATAAAAAAAAAAACACAAATTATCGTAACGTAGTAATTAGTGTATTCTAGGTCTAAGTGAGTATAAAATTCTGTGTTTGTAAACACATCTACACTAAGAAGATAAATGTTCTAGTGCGTAATATAAAAGAAAAAAGAAAAAACACAGTTTCTATTACCTTCCCAAATAACAAAGCTCATGGGCGCGACGGAGGGCCATATAACGTTGGGCGTAGGGTCGTACAGCGGGTTGATGTACTTGGGCAACTCGTCGGGCTGGTTCAGCCAGGACCAGAGGCTGGTGGTCTGCGAGTACACCCCTCGGGTCTCTCTTTCTTGTTCATTGTCGCACATGAAGGTACCTAGAAAAGGTGTGAACAACTGTTGTATAGGCAGGCAATGGGGGGTTCTGTTTTTTGTTCAACAAATGGCGCCAGTTAGAACCTCTCGTGTTTTCATCCAATGGAGAAGTAACTAGTGTCACACCATTGGACGTTTTATTTTTGAAGACTACGTGAGACCTCCCGTTGAGGATCGTTTATCATCATTTCAGCCGGTTGGTAGTAAGAAACATTTTCTGTTGAGTTTTGAGACATTTTTCAACGTCACAAATGTGCATATTTTCCAAGATGATAATAAAGATATGTAAATAAGGGAATTTCTCATAAGAGCTACAAATATCTATCCACATCAGCTTTCCACAGTCCACCCACTTAGACAATGGACTTCCATATACAAATGGGTTTGTCACAATCTCTAAGCTTAGCAGGCGTAGAGATCGCAGTTCAAAACTAAACACACATCAAAAGAGCGTCAAAGCACAGTCAATGAGAGCGCAATTTCAGTGTCATATGAACTTAACATTTATTTTCATTACTATAATACATATTATCGTATGAGAAACACGATCGAGACAAACATTCGATAACGAAGCATTTTCTGCCGAGCGGCTGCGCGTCACTGTCCTTTGCTTGATGTGAGTTGACCCCAAGAGACCTAGGTCTGTTAGAGAGCGTAAAGCGACTTGTCTGTAGTAATTCAAGTTAGTCTGTTTTTACGATAATCACGGGAAGAGTAGTGGGGGAGGGAGGTATTCTTCTCTATTTTAGTGCCACACGGCTTCGACAAAATAAAATATAAAATAATTTAACGAATCACGACGAGAATAAAATACGAGCCACCACGACCTTGTATAATCCGTTATATAATATAGAGCTCCGCTTACGCCAAAATATTATGTGATCAACTACAAAACAACTTACAATTTAATTAATATTACAATATGACTAATATCATCATTTAAATATTGTTATTTTAATGTTGCTTTATAATTATGTATTGATATCTAATTGTTATAATAAAAAAAATAAGTCAAAGTCAAAAAGTCAAAAAGAAGTATACTTACCAAACTGACTAGCGTATGAATGTTCGAATAGCGTGATAAGGAAGGACTGTCGGAACTCGAAACTGCAGGGGAACTGTTCGAGGAACTGCCTGATGCAGTCGAGGAGTAGCAGGAAGGTTGGTGCCGCGCGGGCTGTGGAGGCCCCGTACGGACCCACGCGCTGCCGGGAGTACCATGGGTGACCCGCCGCGTTCCATTCCCGCTCGATTAGTGCTTGTAATCTGTGACATACAAGTATATTTTCGACACATACTTTTACATTGATAATGGACATTATTTATTACTAGCTACTCTAATGCCGTTTCACCCGCTGCTCAGCTATCATAGCGTGATGTTTTATGGTTTCACCCCCTGCTCGGCTCCATTTAATCGTAGCGTGATTACGAGCCTATAGCACTCAGAAACATTGTAGCTATCTATCAGTGAAAGATTTTGGCAATCCGACCAGAAGTCCCAATGGTTACCTCCTACATACAAACTTACAAATTTTACCTCTTTATAATATTAGTATACATGAAATAATAATAAAAAAAGCGTTAAAATATACAATTTACCCTCGTATAGTTCTGCAGTCGGGGTTCAGTATAATCTGGACTAGAGAGCAAACTAACAACGTGGCATCTTCGCCGCGCGTTCCATGGACCAGCACCGGTTCGGCTTTCTGTAATCAAACGAATAAAACTGATGAGAAGAAGAAATGGGTCTGAAAATAGTTTAGTTTAAAATTATGGATACAGCACACTTTCAGTATGATCAAAGGACAAGAAGGATGAAGTCCGTTACACAAAAGTAATTCCAACAAAGTAACACCCGGTTTCTGAAAGGCTTGTAAACGCTAAAATTAACTAATCTCCTGTTAAATCTCTTGTCAAGTCATCTGATTGGTTGTTGATAATTCAGTCAACCAATTAGATGACTTGACAAGAGATTAAATTGATTTTAACATTGATCGGCCTTTCGGAAACCGGGTGTAAGTCCAACAAGCCTACAAATCGATTGATGGTGAACAATTTGGCAACACTAGAATCGTTACAAATGTGTGGCCAGTTTTTGACGGGGGAAGGAATAGCCTTTTATTAAATGCAAGCGTGGTTTCACGATTTTTCAACCCGTTCTTATAAAAACTCGGTTGCATAAAGATCATTGTAGTCACCTGATGTATATGCTGCGCGACGATGCAGGCAGTGTGCAGTGAGTTGCGCACGCTCTCAGGCCAGCCGCACGACTCGAGCCGGGAGATCCATTTGTCACTCGATATCTCACGGTCATTGCACGCTGGAAACATTTACAATACGAATAATTAATCAGAACTGGCTTCTGATCTAGGGCAAAAAGTCTCTTAGTTATTCAATACTTATATTTTATCTTATGACAGTACGTTTGGTGCGGTAATTCTCGCACGGAACTACACTTTGTGTGATGTACAAATTGTTGTTTCATGGTCTAGATGTGATGTGTGTGTGAATGTTATGTTTGTAAACATCGAGGGTGCGTTTCATCACTGGAGAATATTCCAACTTAAAAAAAATCTTAAAACTACGCAACGGTTTTTGATCAGTTTTTTTATAGATAGAGTGATTGAAGAGGAAGTTTTATATTTATAGTAACATCTATTAAATAGTGGAGGAATCTCGTATTCACATTGAACCTGTGCGAAGCCGGAACGGGTCGGGATTATTAAATAGGACTAGCTAGTCGATGAGTTATGACTTGTCTCGCATGGTAAGTTAGTTGCTTTCGCTGCGTCGTGCATCGCGCAATTCTGCTCATGAATATGAGCCACGGCGCCGCTTGAAACTAGTCGAGTAATGTGAGAAGGGCGTTAAACATAATTAATTTCGGATTTTGTTTAAGTATTGGAGTACATTACCATCAATAAGTTTAGCGTAGCTATCTAACAGTGGTTGTTGATTGTCCACCTCGTCCATAGACCTGTTGTATATTTTCCATTGGGAATAGTTCGAGTTGCTCTCTGTTCCACCACCTGGAAAATGAAAATTAAATCTATTTATAAAGACCTATAAGTTTATAAGTGACTACTGACTAATAATTGAGTAATATAATATCTATATGACTGCACGGTTGGTGCGGAGGCTGGGCAACTGGCTGCCGTGCAACCTCGCGGGTTCGATTCCCGCACGGAACAACTCTTTGTGTGATCCACAAATTGTTGTTCCGAGTGTGGGTGCCATGTGTATGTGAAATTGCATGTTTGTACGTTGTGTTACACCACGTAAGTGACGTTACCGGAAACCACATCGTTCCTCTAACCACAATTCCTAACTTTTCAAATACCGAGCTTACAAAAGGCTTTTTAGGGGGTCAATCATGAATGTCGTTTTTCGACCTAACCGGGGCGAGAAGGGGCCTTATCAGGCTTACTGACTATAAACCGCCACATTCCTTGTCCTACTCCAAGCCGGTGCTATGTTACATTATTGTACTTGACTTGCAACCTCGGTTGAAACCTCAAAAAGACTGACACGCGCTTTCGTTGTTCTTCTCTATGAAAATAATAACAAAATAGAAAAATAATATCCAATTATTACTATACCTTTGTTTTGTTGCTGGGATATGGAGTTAGAGCTGCGTAGGTCGTATATGATGCCTTTAGTACCGGCCGCGACCACTGCATTCAATATCGCTTCGTCAGGTCGACACCGCCTGTGTTTGGGACCGTACAGCGGCTGTCCAGCGCGCATTAGAACTGCCTGTAAGCCAACGTTAGTAATATAGTATACATATTTTCTTTGTTTTGGATGAATATATTATGTCGTTGAACCCCAAAGTCGTAGTAAGCGGACCGCATTGACATTAGTTATTCCCTTTTTTCGCCAGGAGTTCAACTTATTGTCATATTATTATATCGAGTAGGTACAGTTTGGAAGAAACGTCGAAATGAAGAAACTTATAACGTCGTAATGCTAAAACTCAACCATTTGGCAATCATTTATGAGCAATGCAAGAAAATTCTAAAATTAAGTGTATCATCAAAAAAGTTAATTTAATTATGATAACATTGATAAAATTCATCGTATTGAAAGCTTATATTATAATCACATAATTGTCACAGGCTACGAATGCCACGCCACAGGAATAAACATAACATGTAGGTACACACGAATACCGATAAACCTATTATCCTTCTTTGCGACGTGCAGTGGAGTAACTAATGTTCAGAGGCAAATTTATAGCTATTTGGCTGCCAGATCAGTCTAAAGCAATTATTATCATTTCAATTCTTAGCAATAAGTCTTTACAATAGGTATAGCATTTTAACTGAGATATGATATACACAATAATCTTTTGTTATTCATCTATACTAATATTATAAAGAGGTAAAATTTGTAAGTTCGTATGTAGGGGTAATCTATGGAACCGCTAGACGGATTGCCAAAATCCTTTCACTGATAGTGTGTTTGTGAGTGCTATAGGCTATAAAACATCACTCTACTGTCAAATGGAACCGAGCAGCGGGGATGAAACCGCACGAGAGTTGCTAGTTTACTAATAAAAGGCATCATATTTTAGTGTTGCAGGAATTGATAGCTGAGGCCGGTTTCTTACCATCAGGTTTTCTGTCGTGTCATTTACTATTTTATTTCCCAAAAAAAACTCATATTAATATAACTCACCCCATTATTATGTCTATAAGAGAGAACAGGAAACCGTCCTCCCTGCCTGAATGTTGCGGCAGCGGCGAGGGTCTCGTCATCAACACACTTGGGCACCACTACTGCCTTTCCATAGCTGGGGCACACCGAGTAGTTCTGGTTTACGCGCGAAACACGCCATTCTTCAGTTGCTAATACTTTTGTGAATTCTCCTTCTATGCTGAAATACAAAAAATTATGATAAATAACTGTCAAACTCAGATTCATTTAATGATTACTTAAATTATTCCTTAGTAATAAAGTTCGTTTCATCATTAGTTAAGTAAAGAGGTATCCAACCTCTATACACAATCTATATTAATATTATAAAGAGGTAAAATTTGTAAGTTTGTAAGTTTGTATGTAGGGGGTAATCTTTGGAACCACTGGTCGGATTGCGAAAATTCTTTCACTGATAGATAGCTACAATGTTCCTGAGTGCTATAGGCTATAAAACATCACGCTAACATCAAATGGAGCCGAGCAGCGGGTGAAACCGCGCGAGAGTAGCTAGTAATCTCATATAGCCCTTAGGTACCTAATTTTTATCTCTGGATAATATGTGGTTATTGTGCAAACAGCACATAAGCATGAGGGACCCAATATGTGATAAAGCTAGTATATGATAGACAGCAGTAAGAATCCCTGAAATCCCTCCTGCATGTAACATATATTAATATGTTAATATAGTAATAAGTTACTTTGGGGTTGGCAAATTTGTTGTCTTTTGTAGATTTGTCTATAAGATATCCTATCGCTAACTATTATGCCACTAATAATCTAGTTAAAATAAAAATGTACCTGTAAAGAGTGTATCCATTCTCAACAATAGGGTGCATATGTCTATAAAAGAATGGGTAGAATAGTCCTGGGTCTTGTAAACCAGATAAATTCTCAAGTGTTTGGGCCATTTGGTTCAATTCATTTGTTGTAGCTATATCCAGTTGGAATATCCTCAAGTCCTTGCATTTTAAGAACAGAGAGCCACCCTGAGTTACACCACTGATTGGTTTGTTTTCTTTCTTTTCTATACAGTCTATGTTCTTGTGGAGAAGCTGTAATCAATAATAATAATGATTTATTATTTACTATCTTTAATCAAGTTAGAATTTTATTTTTTATATTAGTTTCAAATCATAAAAGTTATAAGGTGAACTTAAAATTTGTATCATTTTCTAGCATTGTAAAATAACAATATTGTATATAACAATCAATTATTGATTGTTATGGTTCCAACAAATCTAATTAATGGCTTGTTTCAATTTTTATTGCTTGGCCGAACAACTAAAATAATGTACAGGCTAATTATGGGAAATGGAAAACTAAATAACGTAATGTTATTTTATCAAGTACCTATTAAATGTAACATATACTTGGTAGTAACAGCAAATAAATGGAAACAGATGTAAGTATTGAATTATTGTCAGCTGATGCTTACAGTTTACATCATTTTTTTTTACCTTGTAATAGAATTGTTATACTCAAAGATAGCTTGAAAGGGTTATGAAAATCATGCGAGTTCTATTTTCTAATTCATTATAGTAATTAAACGTACCCATAGCTCGTGAACGCCTTCTTTTCGAGAGCTTAAAATAAGGTGATGTCCTGTGATACATACAGTTCCATCCACGTTATCTTGGTGGGGATACTTTAAAATAACACCGTCCAATTTATTAATGTGTATCAATTCAATAAACTCCATTATTACAAATACTAACACGCAGTAAATAAATAATTATAAAATATAAATAATAAGACCAGACGTTGACATACCTAACTTTATTCGTTCAGGGTTTTTAAGTTGGCAACAGGGGCTTCAAACTTAGAATAAAAAACTGGGGACAGTAATGGATACAATGATACAAAATGACGAAGTCTGACGTAGCCCATGTTCAAAATGAGTTTTAATGTGTTTTTAAATTAGTCGGGTTACATCGTGACGTAGACGGATGATGTTAACAACATGAATAAGAGATGGCAGTTTGGTCTTCTTTTTCGCTGTAGATCCAATAGATGGCGTTAGAGAATGATAATGAAAATAATGCTGTGTATGCATGCACATTGCACACACACAAAGAAGAATGTCTGCTGATAGCTCGCTTGCACCGGTTATTTTGCGATATTTTGTTTGTGATCTCCTTTTTGTGTTTCGTTCTGAATTTCTCGTCGAGTTGAGCTTACGTTCCTCCGAGTAATGCATAATTGTGAACAGAGAAGGTTTTTCTAATTGAGGCAGGATTCTTGTGAGTGAAGTTAACCTACAATGTCTTCGGGCAGATACTGCTGTGTCCCAGGGTGTAAAGAGAGAGGAGGTATGCCAGACCAGCTATTTATTTATTTAACACAAGCTTCTTCACTTCTTACAACAGCAACAAGTTTATGTGTAACGAACTCATAAACTTGTTGTCAATCCCAAACAATACAAATCAAATTAAATGTACTATGACATTTAATGAAATCAACAGCACAAGTAGACCTATATTTTAAAACCTATAGCAATATACTTATAAACTTAATTTATTTTTCTCAAGCCCCATTTTGACTTAAGACTAACTACTAAATATAAAACATTTTAAAGTGCACCTAAAAAAATATTTGATTGAGAGGTGCTACTATAATTTGACAGAATTTCTAACAGATTCCTAACATTATGACCTTTGATTATTAATATTAATAATAATACATATTAATAATCAAAGATTATGACATTTTTATCCATCTGTTATTCAATTGGTTCCTTTAGGTTTTTTTTTTGTGTTTATCTTTGTAATGCCATGTAAAAATCATTATATTAATTTTAATTAAGTTAATACATTTGTACGCTGTTAGCCACAGCAAAACATGAAGGTTATTGTACTCCTTTTAACATCCTACATTACAACATATAAATATGTATCTTGTTCTGTATACTCGTGTTTTACAAATAAATTATCTTTATCTTTACTGCCTATCATGTTTTTTTATGAGTTTAATGGAGCCAATATTTTTATTGCAAGTTTACATATTTTATAATAAAGTTGATATCTTGACAATGCAGCTGATGTTATGTGTGTGAATTTGATTATTTTTCAATGATAAAACTTTATTATTTATTTAAGGTATGCATCAAGTACTTCATGGGTTCCCGAATCCTGTAGTTGATAGAGAAGGCTTCAATACTTGGCTGTATGCAATTAACAGTCTTGAACTTGTTTGAAGAATGAACAAATATTGAACCATAGAGTGTGTCATGCTCACTTTGAGGATAAATATTTGTGCCGTAACAACAGAATCAGTAATATTGCCGTGCCAACATTGAAAATGCGCTGTAAGTATAACACTACATATTGCAAAATACTTTTGGATAAACACCCCAGGTGACACACCCCCAGTGCTACATTGTCATATGCAACATGTCAGAATTGTAAGCATTTTAAGACTGATATCATAAAAACTCTTATATGTATATAAAATTCTTGTGTCAGAATGTGACTAACTCCTCTGAAATAATTTTATCAAATTTTATATCCACATTCAGTAGATCTGAAAAATTGGCTAATATTTCCTACCCCTAAGTGATAAGAGTGGTTCATCCATAACATTTTTAACAGAGTTAAACCACACAAGAACTTATATTACAAAACCCTAATATTACAATATGATTTTAAACATTCCAACATTCTTATTTTGCGTAAACAAAAGTGTCTCACAGGCTAGTGTTATGACAAAATTTATATTTAATGCCTTTGTAATTAATTGCTTTATTCAAATACCTATGTTTTATTTTTCAGCATTACTGTCTCGGACTTCGTTAATAAATACCACCAGACAGCCTTTGCAGCAAATTCAGAACCTACAATCAACATAATCAGGTAAATATAAATGACACCAATTCTTCCCATGGTTGCCGGGTTCTACACCTAGCAAATGCTAGTACAATGTCAATGTACTTTACAAGTTTATCGAGGACATTGGTGACATTGTAAAGCATAAAATTATGTATAGCTGCCTGTTGTTAATCGTAAGACATTGACGGTTGTTACATTTAGTCAGAAGCCAGAAAGTTGGTCATCATGCCATCATCGATTTATTTCACTTCATAGCATCTAAAACGTATAATTATGTAATTTTTTTACTAAATAATTTGAAGTGCTATATATATTTGCTTTTTTTTTCAGCACCGTTGACTCCTCCTTCAACCACTAGCCTACAACAACTAAATCTGGGCCATGGACCATCACCCTCAAGTAATTATAATTTAATTAAATCCCTGAATGAGTCCACTTCATTCTCCAAACAATAGCTATACCAATGTTTATGATTTAAAGTATCTCATTTTAAAGGGCACAACTGGAAGCTAATTTACTTATTGTTGATGAGTAAATAAGTGTATGTGCAGTAGACTGACTAAATATCGTGTGTATCCTATATGCATTACTTGAAACAATGCACAAAAAAGAAATTAATGAATCTCAGTCACCCAGGCACTTTCACATGTAGTCCCCGTCCTTATTACGCTACAACATATTCATTCGGTACTATGTAGATATAACGTAGTAAGCACACTTTAAAGTGTGGTTAGACTAATAAGTTTGGGTTTGTCCAACAAATTATGGATTTTTTTGCAATTGTTGACTTCAAATTGTTTTTGTTCAAGTTTACATTTTATACTTATATATTTTTTTCCTTTATTTTAGTGGCGCCATATACAAAAGTTATAATTTCGTGCAATTATTCATTTCAGGTCTCACAGCTACAATGCAAGAAGCTGCTTTACCAAGTACTTCAGAAACGAATGTGCATCTTAATCTAGGTAAGTTGTGCAAATAAAATCTTGTGTATAACTAAAAAAAGTTTTGAATAAATAGATTAACTTTATTTAATTTATATAATTACAGGAGAAAAAACAACGGTGAAGAAAGCTAAGAGTCGAGTATTCCTTACGAATACAGAAAAGTACCTGCAGGATAAACTTGTTGCTGCAAGTATTAAGTTAAGCAAAATGAAAAATAGATTTAAAAAACTGTCTGTCAATGTAAAAGCAGCGAAACAAATTGCATCCAACCCTGCAGTATGCGACATACTAGAAAATTGTACGAGTACAAGAAAATTATTAATTAGTATGCAATGTCAAGAGGACCACAAAAAAGAAAAGGAGCGACGTTTTACGTTACAAGAAAAAATTGCTTCCTTATCTATTTTTAAGCAAAGTCCCAAAGGATATAGATTTCTGAGATTTTTTTTATTTTGCCTGCTCAGCAAACACTAATTAAGTTAGTACAAATTTGTAACACCAAGCCTGGGATAAACAGTAATATTTTCTCTCAATTGAAAAATAAAGCTGACAACATGAAAATAGAACAAAGGTTATGTGTTATTATGTTTGACGAAGTTTCTTTGAAGAGCAATGTTGCATATAACGAGGGAAAAGATAAAATCACAAGTCTTGTTGACAATGGGCAAAACAGGAAAACTGAATTTGCAAATCATGCTCAAGTCTTTATGTTACGTGGCTTAATTTATAATTATAAGCAGGCAATATCATATACATTCGCGTCGAGTGCTACTAAGGGACCTGAACGAGCTCAACAAATAAAGGACGTGATAAGAGGTTTGCAAGAATCAGGGTTCATAGTTGTTGCTACTGTATGTGACCAGGTTCCTAATAATAGACAGGCTCTGAAACTGTTAATTAATGAGAACAGGGGAATTTATTTGAGAAAAGGCGAAGAGCCTAAAGAAAATAAAATTTTAATAAATGGTCAAGAAATTGTACCACTTTATGACCTGATGATGATGACACTGATGACATCTCCTCAAAGGAATTAGAAATAACTTTATGTGCAAAGATTTAGAGTTCACCAAAGATGGTGTAACAAAAATTGCAAAATGTTCGCATTTAAATTTACTTCTCAAAGAAAACCCTGGTTACAAAGGCATTAGGTTGATTCCAAAATTAATGGAATATCATATCAACCCTCTAAAAATTAATAAAATGAAGGTTAAATTTGCCTCACAAATATTCAGTCGTACTATGGCGTCTAATATGGGATACTTGGCAGGTAATGTATGTTTTATTTATTTATTCAAACTTCATGCACAAGGCGGGTACATAGGCGGACTTAATGCCTAAGGCATTTTCTACCAGTCGAGCCTTGGGTGATGCAGAGCTGTGCCGGTGCAAGAAGCAAAGCAAACAGACTTTATTTTATATGAGTCAAAACGAGATAGATAGATACATATATATGTGTGTGTGTGTGTGATAGATACATATATTTGTTTTATTGTATAACTAGAATATGCAACAAGCGAATGTACTATTCCGGAAAATCTAATATCTCACGAAAGTGTTATAATCAGTCACGTTTTGAAAAAATATTTGTTACGTGTTTGAAATCAATTGAAGTAGTTTGCAAAAATAAATATAATTCAGAACTTTAGGCGATTAAACTGTCATACAATTTTTTTTTTTCAGGTAAGAACATACTTCCCGCTGAGTGTAAGGACACCGCTGATTTACTGCTGTTCATGGACAATATCTTTGACTCCGTGAATGGCAGTCGACAGAAAAATAGAAATGCAAAACCCTTACTAGGGCCAGCAACGCCAAACTCGGCACATCACCAAATTTGGATTGAGGGAGTACAAATTTTTAAATCGATGAAATTTGTATCGAATGGTAAAAAACAATCGGTTCCCTCCATTACCAATTGGGTGTGGACACTGAGTAGAATAAATAAACTACAAAATGAGTTTAACGTGTCGTCAGTGTGGTTGCGGCATCTTAATCAGGACCCCTTGGAAAATTTCTTTGGGGCGGTAAGAAGCCAAGGGTGCCGCAATACTAATCCCACCTGCGACCAATTCGAATCGGCTTTCACCACATTATTAATAAATAATATAAGCAGTGTCCACACCCGCGGAAACTGCGAAAAAGACTTTTGCGATGCATTGTATTCATTTCAAACATTATTGAATTTAATTTTACACCTATAGAAATTAAAGAAAGGGATCCCCGTATTGTTGGACCTCTCCAATATATAAGTGGATATTTTTTGAAGAAAATTAAATCTAAAATATTTAAAACTTGTACAGATTGTTGTAACCTATTAATGGAAAAAAATGAAATTGAGTATATAAAATATAGGGAATACGCAGGTCAACGATGGCTTTGCACTCCCAGCAAGAAGTTAATAGAGCTGATTTCCAATATGCAAGATTTAATCAAACAAAAGAAAATATAGAAAAATTATATTTAAAGCTAATCATTAATACAGCTGTTAGTAGTTTTGTTGATTTTACATTTATAAAATGTATAATAGAGAAAAAATAATCGATTTTTTAATTAATATTGTTATTAGATTTATAATTTTTAATTACTGTAAAAATATCAATATAATATTAGCTGGGAGAAAAGATGTTGATGATGATGAGAACAAATTGCAAGTTAAAGCTAAAAAGTTAAGCGAGTACTATAGAAAAAACAAATAAACTAGATTTTCATCAAATATGTTGTTTCATTTATACCTCTTTTTGTTGTAGCAGTAGATAGTGTAATTCACTATAAGAATTGTAAAATATTTAAAGTGAATTACACTGTCTACTACTCGTTTCAGTCACGTAGTTGAGCAGTAACGAAAAACAACCAACAATCTATAGATGCACATCCATAGTATAGATATGGTTATATATATAATAAAAATGTTGTCTAACATGGATTACAGATGGCGCTGTTAGTAGTTACCCAATTTGACATCGAAGATTGGTCTCTATTTCCTATTGTTAAAATGTACTCTGTGGTTGGCAATCAGCTGCACTGCCAGATTGACAGCTGTTATCAACTGACGATCGGATATAAAAATAATTCAACAAAAGGAGAAATGTACACTTATTAAAATGAAATGGTAACGTTATCATTAATCAAATGGTAAGTGATTTGATTACTATACAAATTATTATTGATAAAATGATAAAACTAGAGAAATAAAAACAATAATTTACAATAACTAACTTCACGCTTATTGTTAGAAGAGTACCGCAATACTGTCAACAGCCGTTACATGCCAGATAAAAAGAGATAGTGCGATACAGCCGATGTATGTGAGAAAAAGCAACTAATAGTTTTGTGAAAGAGATGTCTTGAGATTTATTGTAACTTCCTAGTTTCTGTACGTTGGCAGTAGCAGCTCCATCTGTGAGATATCCAATAAAAACTAAACGTAGCTGTACGTGCGATGGCGATGTGTGGATTTTTTCGTTGGTTGATGATATTTTTTGATCACAAAACAATTGCTAATTGAAACCTAAGTCCTATGAGTAAGATATACCTGCTACAGCATCCGGTGAATAGTGTGTGGTGTTTAAGTGCAGGGGACAAAAATAATAAACCGAGTGGTAAGTGTATGTATTTGTATGATTGTATTGAAAGTAGGTATGTAAGTAGCTGGCAGGGTGGTTGAGCTTGGGTAATGACCGGTTCCTTTAATATTTAGATATCTATTGTTAAGACATAACCACAGAGTACTATTCAAGTTATAATAACCACATTTTCTTACATCACAAAAGGTCAAGCTAAAAATACCAAGTTGTTGTTTTGTCTCAGGTGATGGAAGAGAGTACGGAGAATCACATGGAGACCGACGTGTCGTCCACGACTGATGATGTTCCTGAGACGCAGGAAGTAACAGGCTCCGACGGTAACGTCGAGATGATCATAGTTGTGGAGAAGATGGAAGATGAGTCAACAGCTGACGAGCAATCAGATGAGCAACATTCACCAGTTCATGAGGGTCCTGGTAGTATCATTGCACCAGAGGATAAGGCACCAGAGAAAGAACAAGTACCAATAGTAAAATCCCCACTAAAATCTCCAGCAAAGTCTCCTATAAAGACACCAACAATAACTCTTGTAAAATCGCCAGCAAAATCCCCTGTTAAAATTCCAGCAAAATCTCCAGTTATAATTCCAGCTAAATCCCCTATCAAAAGCCCAGCCAAATCTCCAGTTGAAAGCCCAGCTAAATCACCAATAAAGTCACCTACAAAATCTTCAAATATTGAGCCAGAAATTACAAATTCCACAGAGGATACTGAGATAGTAATGATTGTGGAAACTGCACCTCAGGTGCCAGATGAGGTTTCAACACCTGTCACCATAGAACAAGTTGAATTGACTGTAGAAGCCCCATCAACCAAAGAATCTCTTATTGAAACAGACAAACCCACCCAGATTCTGAGTCCAAGTAAAGAAGTACAGGAACCTGTATCAACATCACCCAATAAGGAGTCACAGCCTTCAGATTCTGCTATATCAACACCAACAAAAGAAACCACAACAAATGATAAAACGTCAGTCAATGGCAAGGTTCAATCAAATGAAACTGGTAAAATGGATGACACAAGTGCTAAACCTGTTACTACTATCACACCCATAGAGATTACCATTGAAAATTCAAATGATTCTCAAATTGAATCATTGTCTGACATATCAGAAAAAGAACACAAAGGCATTAGCAGAGAATTGAAATCCTTAATAAACTCTGCCAAAGAGTCTAAGATCATTAGTGAGTGCACACAATTAAAAAGTAAGACAAGAAAGTCTAGAAATGCTTTAGACACATCTAGTTCAAGTTTGAATTCCTCTTTGTTGGAGCCTGGTAAGATTAATGACACTAGAAGACACAGTGATAACTCACAGAAGAGTAATTGTAGTGAAAAGTCTGATAAAACTCACCTCAAGAGGTCAATGAGGTCACAGAACCCGGAATTTGTTAGTAAGGTAAAACAGTTTCTGAATTCTGTTACTGGTAAGAGTAATAAAGAGTCTGATGATGACGATGATGTGGTGGAAAGCAAAGATAAGAGTGAAATATTAGAGGAGGATGCAAAGGGGACACCTCCTAAAGTAAAAAAGGCTGAGCCAATTGTAGTAAGTATAAAGTATATTCATATTCATACTATCTATTATTATAATTCATAAATGTGCAAAGTTTATCTTTCTATTGTTAAATGATTATGAAAGTTAAAAAGTAGTTGTATTCCTAATATTAGTAATCATACAATAATCAGTTAGGTTACAAACTTTCTATCAAACAAATTGTTTATGACATATGCTTTTCTTTTTAATTGCAGAATAACCTCTTTGTTCAATATTTTGAAGTGGCCAGTAACTGTTTTTGAATAAGTAGAGGGGTAATATTGACATTTTACATATGTACAAGATGGCTACCTGAGCTTTATCTTGTCATAATAATCTATTTACAGAAACTCTTGTCAGTAACACAGTACTTTAATTTATAAATAATCATGGTCAGTTATCATTGTAATTCATTGTTGTTACACCAACCTAATATTTTTACTCATTAGATCTCTTTTTTGTCTCATCTTAAACTTATATTAAATTATCTCTGTACTACTAAATCAGTTTTAAATCATAACCTATTTTATCAGATTACAGAGAATAGCAACAAGCTGCGTTCAGATCCTTACTGTTGGCGTTGTCATTGGGCAGTGGAGCACAGTACCAATGATAAAGTGCATCCTCCGATGCACTGTACAGTGTGCCCGAGGACTTTCCACTTCAAATGCCTGACTAGTACGGAGAAGAACAAGATAAATGTGGAGAAGAATTGGGTGTGTCCTGAATGTATGGTCGTACTACAGGCTGAGAGTTCTGAGACCAGGTAATTTCCTTAATTCATTTGAATTCCTTCATTTTTCTTGAACCATAATTGTAGTCAAAAATATGCTTAATTATGTCTTCTTGTGAATGTTTGAGTAAGTTTAATTAATAATAAGTTCATAGCTTCCTTAGCTTCATTGTTTTATACCTAAAAATATCATTAATTTACCTTTATTACACATTAAAAACTATGCAATTTCCTGATAGTAATTGTTTATGACAAAGAAATATGCTAGTGCTCCAAGCGAAAATAGTTGCATATTGTTTCATTTTTATCATCGCAATATTTTAGTTTAGATTAATTTCAGTATGTAGGTTATCACCTGGCATTGAATCTTTTTGCTACAAACATGTATTTTCTTGCGTTGTTTCCTTGCTATAAAATCTTAATTTTCGATGTACCTCCAGACACTATTTTGATCAGGAATGTCACACAAAAGTCCTCATATATATGTGTCAGTTACTCAAATTTAAATAATGTAAACTAAATAAGCAAGACAATGTGTCCCAAATGAATGCAACTACTTGATCATATTTCCAGATCTCCAGCCATGAAGAAGATATCCCTAGGAATGCTCTGTGACCTATTGAAGCACGCGCTGCGGCGAATGATGGAAGTGAATGGGGTAATTTATCAATTTTATTGTTACTACCTACATTATTTTATGTCTGATACCTGCCATGCAGATTATGCGTGCTCGAATACAAAGGTCGATTGACTTGAATATTGTGTCAATTTTATAACTAACATGATTATAACTTTCATTATTTTTGCAAATAGGTACTAGTCTTGCTATCCATAAAGTCTATATAAAAATCGATGACATTCGCGGCTTTGTTTTTTAGCCAAGTAAACTAAAATGTGAAGGTATTAGGAATATTTGTAGAGTGTGAGTTATAAACTGTCATATAACAGCGGCGGAGTACTTTCACCGGATCGGCGCATGAATCGACAGCTGGGCAGATATTAAAATGTATGTAGCGCTCCGCAAACGGTGCGCGGCTGGCGCGGCTGGCGGGCGGGACTCGGTGAAATGACCTTGCTACTTATCTACGTAGCTGCGCCGCGCGGACCCCGCGAACCACAAGCTCCCTCTCGCTCTAACAGAACAAATCGATAACGAAGCGTCGCTGTTGCTGTCTCGCTCTACTGCCTACCGCTAATAATAAACATGTGCGTGTGTTGAACATGTATTGTGTCCTGCATTTTTCTTGATTCGTCAGTTTGACATGCTTTTATATTAGCAGAAATTCTTAATATAAGATTTGGCGATATAGTTTTTCGTACATGATAATGCAATCCTGAGCCTATTTTACACAATATAATTCACAATATTCTACTCTTGTATATCGTTTGCATACGTGTAGGTATCTGGTTCCACCTACGTAGCAACTAGGCAACTGTGAATCGTCTGCCACGCCTAACCCACGACTAAGTACATTTTGCATTAAGTGTCTAACCGGAACACCGGAACCAGTGTCTGACTGGCGAGACCTACGTATAATATTATCGAACGAAGCATTATTATGAAAAAAATGCATTATTAATATGCATTTTTGTTTGTCGATACATCTATTTTCTACGTCCTTAATAGTCCTAATAAAACAAGAAATGAAAGAGATACGATCGGTATTCAGGACAGCTAATCAATAAAGAGGAATTTAAATAAATTACCGCTAGTCTAGGCCGCGTTAAATGGACTTATTTCAATGAGCATATTACACAACAATGAGCTCTGTAAACGATTGTAAAAGCACATTCAAACTAAGAACACTATCCTCGTCACTGGATTTATGCTTATCTCTCTTGCTTTATTTAATCTTTTCAGCATGAAATCAAAAATTACAATCAATTATTTACACCTCACAACATATACATAGTCAATATACACCCATAAAATTTTCTTACTAAACCTCCTTACTCATCTAATCACCAAAAAGTTATTAACTTAATCAGTATTAAAACTCCTTTCTCTCGATTCCAGGTGGACCCATTCATGCAACCAGTGGACCGTACAGCATTTCCAGATTATGACAAGTATGTAGTGCATCCCATGGACCTGTCATTGATGAGAGACAACATCTCCGAGGGACTGTACGGCAGCACAGAGGCGTTCCTGGCTGACGCGCAGTGGATACTTCATAACAGCATCATTTTTAACACATGTTAGTATTTTTATAAGATCCCAACTTGCTTTATGGTGAAGGTGTAGTAGAATATTTTTTTTATCATCCTATTCTTATCCTCGGTGGCGTAGGAGGCGATTCAATAACTAGAACTAGAAGTATCAAAAACAAAACAACAGCACCCTCTGATAAATCAAAACTTTTTAAACCACGGTTATCATTAAGATTATTGCAAGCCTCTTATGTAGATTATATGTATCCGTCTCCTATGTAGATTAGTAGACATTTAGGTTACAATAACGAAATAGGTTTTAGTAAATTATTGACTCAATCAGCCTGAGCTTGCGAATTAAGTATTATTTATTTGTATAAGGTAACCTATGCATTTTGAAGTACTACTCCAATAAGTTCAATCAATTTTTCACAGTATTAGTGTCACCGAAATATCATTAAATCTGTATGTAGAAGTTTGTAGTAGACTTGTTTCCTAATACACACAATGATTATAGCTTATCTCGCTAATAGACCTTCAGGGGCCCTGTGTAATCTGTTGAGCTATTGTGGACAAATGATATGACCTGTCAGTCAGTCAGTATGGCGGTCACAAAATTACTTTTAAAATTGTTGTTACCAAAATGTTCTTTTTATCTTTAAACCAACTGGTCTGGCAAAATTAATACTGGCTCAAATATAACTAATATTTTATTTATTATTTGGTTACCTTTTTATTTTCTGATCTTTTAAACCTGCCCTGTATATCCAGACAGATATATTTCAAGACCACAAAAAGCCATGTCGGTCCACCCTTTCACGAGTTTTCGCGAGACTTACGAACAATAATTCATTTTTATATATAAGAAAGATTAATAAATAATATAATTATTTTTTTATTTTTTCAGTTTGCATGTAAATTTTTTTTGGTATTCCGTTTTCTTTAAATTGGTTGTGACAATCACAGATGAAAACGTGTGTCCCCCTTCAGTGCAGTCTAAGTTGACGGCGGGCGCGCGCGCGTTGGTGCGGTCGTGTCGCTCGGAGATGGGGGAGATCGAGGCCTGCCCCGAGTGCTACGCCGCCGCGCATGCGCGCCGACCCACCTGGTTCACAGACGTCTGCTCCACGCCACACATACTGTTCTGGGCTAAACTAAAAGGTACCGTCACTTTATTTTGGCCAGTTATATGGAACGAAGTAGACCTATGTTCCAAAATAATTAAAACACTACTCATATACTAGATCAACATCATCGTCGATTCTGGCTGTAACTATATAATTTGTTTTTGTTCTTTATTAGTTACATATATTAAAAATCATAACAAACACTAAACTATTATATGATTAACTAAGATAATAGCTTCTGTTTAGCAGTAGAATATGTTGTCCTGCAAAGAATTAAGTCATCAACCTTCCATGTTGATGAGGATGAATGTTCAGTAATTTTATAATAACTATCGTGAGACATACTAAATTAACTAAAATTCGCGGGTTACTCACGTGTAAATGTTGAGAAAAGCTCTACTAGTTTCGAACCACAGAGGGGTTCTTCCTCATGAGCAGCGTGCGCGACGTCGCCGCGTCCGCGCACGCTGCTAGTAGAGCTTTTCTCAACATTTACACGTGAGTAACCCGCGAATTTTAGTTAGTTCAGTAATTTGTCAGCATCACATAGTATAGCAGAATAGCCGTAGTTGCCTTATGAGTAATAGTGGCAAGCTTCATATTACATACTTCACCAGCCTATAAGTGCCCATCCCTGAGGAAAGGCTTCTTCTCACACTGAGGATTCAACATAAATCACCATGTTTTCTCAAGGCGGATTGATGTCGAACTTGTAGTTTTCAGGTTTCCTCACGAAGTTTTGTTTCGCCGTTGGTCAGTGATGTCCAAATAATCTTAAGAATAATATAATTATATAGAATCTACATATAAATGAAGAAGTCACAGTGGTACTTGTCAGGTTTTGAACCCTCATTTATGAAAAGCTATCCATTGCAAATGATACAATTAATTAATCATGTCATCATCATTTTCCTATAGTTAACTATGATAAGTTATTTATTGCACATATTTATGCCTTCATAAACCATTTAAATTTCATCCTCCAGGCTTCCCCTACTGGCCAGCGAAGGGTATGTCGGTGAACGGCTCCGGTTTAGTGGACGTGCGCTTCTTCGGCGCCCACGACCGCGCCTGGGTACCTTCCAAAGACTGTTTTCTGTACTCTGAGAAAGATCCGAATAACTTCCGGACTAAACGACAGGATATAATAGACAGTATGCAGGTAAGATTACTGTCCTTTTCCTGTTATTTAGTAAATAAAAACTTATTGCTTATACTGGGTCAAATTGTAAACATGTAACGTCCTCACGTGTATGGGTATGGTATAAGACTGTGTGTTCATTTTGTATCAAAACTGCTAAAAATAGTTTGGAACTCGAGAAAGAACATAGGATAGTTTTTATAAGAAAAATCTGCAGGAAGTCACTATTCCACGCGAACGTGGTCGCAGGCAAAAGCTAGTGCTTTATAAAAAAAAAACAGAATTAAATAAACATGAATGATTCATTATTACAGGAAGCCGAGCAGCACATTCGGAATATTTCAAGAAAGTATGGTCGGTTTGTGTACCCACCTTTCAAAACACCATTTGATCCCAGCAGAATGAGTGAACAACTCAAAATGATGGTAAGTTCGAGTTATATTTTGCAGATAGGTTTGACATACTTGTATACATTTAGATATAAGTATTGGGTTAAGTATCCCATTTTTATGTCTTGCTTGCTTCTTTATACTTAACAGCAGGATTAAGAGGCTAGAAAGATCTTTAATTCGTCATACCCCAAGCAAAAGCTTCGATTGTCTTAATATTGTGTCGCATATTACAACACATGAAAGGTTAATTTAGTCCAGCCATCGAAAAAGGCTATCAAGTATATTTTTCCCAAAGCAAAAGCCGGCGTTCGCGCATCTATTGTCTTATTGTGTCGCATATTACCACACTTGAAGGGTTAATTTGGTTCAGCCATCGAATAAGGCTGTCAATATTTTTTTAAATTTTGTCACATCATGTGGCCAGGAAATTCTCCAAACTGACAATCTATTAACTAGCCACATGACCGAAAAGAGAAAATGTAGTTCTTAAAGTATTTGAGAAAGACATCAGCCAGCATATTATTTGTTCAGACCCGTTTCATCACCGTCATATAAGTTCCCAATAATCTTACGTGGCGCGTAGCTTATACAAATTACATACATGTTATAACTGGCAGGTACATAGTGGCTATACAAAGATAATAAAACGGCAAACACTATTTAAGTCATCAACTCCCAAGTGAACGCCGGCGTTCACGCACATGTTGTCTTTCTATTATGTCTCGAATAACCACGATTGTAATGTTAAATGTGCAATTTCAATTACAGATACCAACATTCGAAGGTGATGTCAGATCACTGGTGAAGGAAAAATCTTCACCAGCGGCTACCAAGGGGAAGAGCAGGTCCAACTCCAAGGGTTCAAAATGTTCACTGAATGATGGGTATGTATTTCATTTATATTATTGTGTGTTTACTTATATAGAACAATATTTCTTTGAGAAGCTTGTTATATTTGCTTGAAAATTGGTATACTTTCGAATGGTTCAGGTAATTTAGTAGCTTGAATAACCAATCCGACTTATTATAGGCCTCATTTAGCATCATTTCATAATACGCGTTAAGGTGACTATTTTAAAGTCTATACTACAATAAGCATTACGATAGTGACCTGCTCTTATTATCGTCGAAGCGTTATGAAGTATAACTTCCTCGCCGTACTCGGTATATGGTTTATCCGTCACATACAGTGCGGCCGACGTATCTTGGCGAGTCTGAAGTTAGCCATTTGTCTGCGCAATGGATTTTTTAGGAACAAAATTGTGTACTGCGCAGCTAATCGGCTAACTTCAGACTCGCCAAGATACGTCGGCCGCACTGTACAAGATTGAAATAAAATCAATTTGAAATTAACGAGTTACTCGTAGCTAGGTAGGTATACATAATATGATTGTTTGTTTGATGACATTATTCTAGTAACGTGTAATAAGTTGGACGGGTTTTATTTTTTTTATGCAAAATGCTCATTACGTGACAGAAAAACCTTTTTTTTTGCTTTAACTTAACTATTAGGTGTTGTCATCATCAATCGGAATTAGTTGCTAGGCGTCCGACTAAATACTAAAGACTTTTTGCATTGTTCGGCCAAAATTATGGCGTACCCGGCTTTTTAGGTTTCATCGTTTGAACGGATCGATACTCGCTTCACGATTGTGTCTGCGTTTACGAATGACTTATTCCGATATACAGTTTTGATACATGTCGCTGATTAGGTCAATTTAGGTTGCCATATTGGTCTTGATATTTAGAGAATGATGTTGCCTAATTTACTATCAGGTTGCAGTTTACAGCATATCCGGGCTCAATAAATTATTTTTTATAAAATACTTTTATTAAAATCGCTCATAAAATTAAGGCTTACGTTGAGACCAAATACTTTTACCTGAAGATTAGTGCAATATGTTACCTCCATAAAATTATGTAAAAATGGAATACTATTCACTAGTCTTGCTTATAACTCGAGAACGGCTGATCTGATTTGGATTGTTTTAGCCTTGAAATATCCGTGGAAGTCCAAACAAGGGTAAAATTTGATTTGGTACGGATTTCGCTGAACCAATATCCTATACACAAACTGTATCAAAGTCATGTTGTCAACAAAAATTAAACTACTATTATGTCTATAAATAAAAGCTGGCCTGTTCTAAATATAAGCTTTATTCACTTCATGTTGCAATGAAAATTCAAGATGACGTAAATATCACTAGGTTGCGCCTACACTCGGATAGTACGGATTCGGATAGTGACGGGGAGGAACTACAGCGTCTGTATGCTCTCCTAGAAAAGTACAGGTATGTAGTAACTCAGGTCAGTACAATTTAAAACTGAACATTAGCTGAGGCCGCACTACCGTTAAACAGCTTTGTTTAGAAACCGCTCCAGTTAGGCCATAGGTATATTGCACTTTTAAACAAACAAAATATTTAGAACAAAAATCTCGATCGGCCTGTCCGTCATTGTTCTTCCAAGCTTGTTCTTCCAACTTCCAACTTCGTATTTGGCCCTCATTTTTCAATCAGACTTGTGAATAAAAGACGAATATAAACACCACACTTCATTTTTAGCCGGAAAACTGCTTTTGTTAAAAAATGTCGTAAAGTCAATTTCGTAACTCGGAGAATTTTGCGTGAGGACTTAATGTTGAAAATATCGCAGTTAAGAACCGTAAACCAGTGGTTTCGAGGTTAACCGCTCTCGAAAAAAAACGGCAGTGTGGCCTAAGGCATACCCTGGTCATGGCACTAGCGGCTAACTTAAACCCTGTGATAACTATCGCCAGTGATTGTGCATACTGCTTATATATGAACAGGCCTTCCACTATAATATTTTTATTTAACCAACATATTATCGTTTATTTCCATCTTAATGTATTTTATGTCACCTGCCCACATACATACGCAGCATTTGTTATATTAGGCAGCAATTTTTCGTCCTCAGATTAGATGTTCTGGAAATTTAAATAATGTTTGTTTTGTTGTATCAGTGACGCAAGCGAGACTGATGACGCGCCAGCTCTGCCGGCGAGGAAAATGGCGGACGGCGCCGAAATAGCCAAAGTGGAGGAAGATGAATCTAATGTAGAGAAGTGAGTTCATTTCCATTAACTTAATATGAATATTTTTTGACAAGTCGTCAATTATTAACTTATTACTAATTTTTTACAGGGAAATGGAAGTTGAAGTTCCAATCAAACTAAAAGAAAATGCTCAAACTCCTACAACAACGAGTTCTAGAAAGCGCCGTCGGTCAGAACTCGAGGAAGCTGTCATTACTATAATCGAAACTAGCGGCACCTATGAGAAGCGCAGTCGCCGCAAAAGCTTAACTGAAACCAAGAAACCTGACGCACCAGAACCAACTAGCAGTAAGGCCGTAGACACCACAGCCACTGACAAACCCCAGGGTGAAACAAAACAGACCACACCAGTTAAAGTAAATGAAACACTAACTAAACTTAAAGATAACGAGCCATCCTCTAGCACTGAAAAAGAGAAAACTCAGAGAGTTACTCCTATAAGGATAGCACTAGTGAAAGAGAGACGCCAGTCTACAAGAACCAGTTCCTCCAGGGACCCAACCGCCAAAATCATTACTCCTACTAAAGACAAGGATCAGGAAAAAACCACTCCACAGAGGCCAAAATCTGCTAGAAACGTTGATAAACCATCACCTGCTACTAAACCAGAGAAAACAAAACCAGAAAAAATTGACAAAACACCAAACTCGAAAGTTGACAAAGTTGATAAAACACCCAATGACAGCAAAACTACACGAGGGAACAGGTCCAGAGCTGAGAAACGAAGTAGTTCTCGAAGTAGCAGGTCAACTAACAGCACTAGCTCGACGAGGTCATCAGAAAAAGCTGAGAAGAAAACCGATGGGGCCGCCAAAGATAAGCCCAAAGAAGGTAAACCCTCAGCAAAGGAGAAAGACAAACCGGGAGATGTAAACAAATCGACATTGGATGTACAGAAGTCACCCAAACCGGTTACAGATGTACAATCCCCGAAATCTATTAAAGATCGGATGCACTTGGATGACGACACTACCCTAGCTGTTCTAGCGCGGGAAACTTCTAAATCGAATAATCTGGTAACAGTAACGCATTGCAACAGTGGGCTCCCCACAATTAGCTCCGTGCGGAGTCTCTCGACCACTGCACAGGCTACTGGCGTGACGATAACTAGAACGATGTCCAGTGCGAACACTATTGACATCACGGAAGAATCGTCTACCTCGGACTCGAGTATCTTTACACCTACTAGCTCGGACAACGTTACGTCTATGAAAGAAGCAATGTCGAAACTGCAGAGGCTACGTAACGAGACGGCGGAGCCAGCCGTAGGGCGCGTGGGGGTCAGAGCATTCGCGAGGATGACATCGCCGGAGAAACAGACGCCAAATGAAGAGGTGCAAGTAGAGATTAAGGCTGAACCAATCGATCTCGATGACCCAGAAAGGCATATGGAGAAGATGGATCTCATGAACGCTTTTAGGCTACGGCCGGTGAACCCACAGAACATGCCGACACCGACGATGAATTTGCGGGACGTTCGAATAAATAAAGTGGTAGTGACGCCGCTGAATGCCAAGAAGACGACCAAAACGCCTGAGGTGCGGCCGAGAGCGAAGAAAACGTTCCCACAGCCGAAGAAGCCGGAGGACGGTCGGTCGGATCTGGTCACGAAGAACTCAATGGTGTACATCCCCATCCAGCCTCCGATGACGCAGGCTCCCTCCCTGCGCATGCCGCGCCCCCCTCACGCCGCGACACCCACCGCGCAGCCCATCATCAGGCCGCCCATCGCTACAACCACTGGTAAGTTCTTGTAATATCTTATGAGTGCATATTAAATAAGCAATTTTTTGTTCTTATCTGATTTCTGGATTAAAAAGTATTGATTAATCTGTAATTTTTTGTGATTCATATACAACATATAAATACGATAGTTTCCAACTAGTCAAATTCAATATTTTTATCCAAATGTCAAAAACTATATTATTACGAAGACGATACTTGTGTGAAACTCCAAATTATGAAGTCTAATTTACTTATCTCTTAAAAATTTGCTAAAAAATATCGATAATTTCGTCTATCGACACTGTTGACTAAAACTTTAGTTATTTTTCAATATTTTATGGAATTTGTATTGAAACATTGTTTATTAATTCAGTTGACCTGGGAAACTAACTACCCAATTTTATTATATCGCTTTCTATGTTCTAGCAGTGAACAGCCTAGTAAACACGGTAACAACCCCCCTGGTGTTGTCCAGCCCGTGTATCTCCACTAGTGGTGTGACTAACAGCGCGAGTGTGGCCACGGTGCCCACAGTACACACAGTGCCACTGATGACGTCAGTCAATGGACAGTGGATGTTTAGCTTCCAGCCAGTCATGTCCGTTGGAGCTATTGATGTGAGTTTACTGAATTGATGGTTCGATTTTTTAACTTTTAATGTTGATACAAAGTTTCGAAATCACTTGTTCTTTTTTTGAAATTAAGTTGTTTGTGTTAAGTTGCTGTTTGGCATAAAGGCATTATAATTATAACTGTAAAGACTATGCCTGCAACAAAACATGTTTCGTGATCGAACTTATTATTTGAGCATTTTGATTTCATTTTAATTAATTCATGTCGTTTATCTAATACCAATATCTCTTCTATACTTTTCAGACTCCTCCCCCTCTAGTTAACGGTATAGCTGATCGTGTAAACACATCTGTTCCGCTGGCAACATTAACTCCAACGCCAAACTCAACGTTAGTAAACTCTAACGTGGCAACACCGGCCGTGTCGGTCCTGCCCATAGTACCTGCCGGTACACCTGCACCACCCATCTCTGTGCTAAGCAGGACACCCACCGACAATACGCCTGGAGAGGTATTTATACGTTTTACTAACTTTTGTCCGCGACTTCAGTCACGTGGTGACTTCCTGCAGATTTTTGGTTTAAAAACTATCCTATGTCCTTTCTCGAGTTTCAAACTATGTCTGTATAATACTATGTAATCTATATATAAAAGAAAGTCGTGTTAGTTACACCACTTATAACTCAAGAAAGGCTGAACCGATTTAGCTGAAAATTGACAAGGAGGTAGTTTAGAGCCAGGAGAAGGACATAGGATAGGATAGAGTAGGTAGAGTAGGTTAGGTAGAGTAGGGTAGGTAGAGTAAGGTAGGTAGAGTAGGGTAGGTAGACTAGGGTAGGTAGACTGGGGTAGGTAGAGTAGAGTAGTAGAGTAGGGTAAGTAGAGTAGGGTAGGTATAGTAGGGTAGGTAAAGTAGGGTAGGTAGGATAAGTAGAGTAGGGTAGGTAGAGTAGGGTAGGAAGTCAAATGACGGGAGCGACGCCGCGGGTAAGAGCTAGTGTCATATAAATCGGTTCAGTAGTTTAGGCGTGAAGGAAAGACAGACAAAGTTATTTTCGCATTTATATTATTAGTTTGGAAATTCATATTTATGTCTAAACATGTAGAGAAGGAATATTTATGTAAAGAAAGTAATTCCGGTCTTTTTGGCTTTTATTGAATGAAAGTAAGCTATATAGTTCAAGTATATAAGAAGTCATGCCACTCCTCGTAAGAAATATTAAATTGTGTATTACAGTATATTCCCGTAACTATTTCACGTAACTCGACTAGTTTCAAGCTGCGCCAGGGTCTTCAAGCTCATGAAAATCAATGCGCACGTTTGCCGCGCCGTGTGTATTAAGTATAATATAATTAACCATTAACCATAATCATAATCATTTATTATTTGTAAAACATAGGTAATAAAGAAATTAAGATCTTATACATAAATACAGTGCGCTATGTTTTATCTATGGTAAGACTTACAAATATGTGTAGATTTTAGTATTTCTTTTTTTTTTTAAACGTTATATCAAAACTATGTAAATCAAAAAATCCCCTTTGTGCTTTGATCTTGAACTAATATTATATCAGTCGGTTTCCCCTCTTCAGCTCCCGCGACTGCAGCAGCGGCCGACGCAGTCCCTGCAGAACCCGCTGGACTGCAATACGCCTATCGGCAACATGCCGCCACCCTCCACTGCTGGACCTGTCACCGCCAAGCTCAACCAGAATGCCGTCAAGGTAAGCTTGCTTGCTTGCTATGTGTTGATCTTTATAGGTGCGTCTAAGCGGAAATTATTTTTTCTGCCCATTACTTATGACGTTCGTCGCTAACTGACCTAACGCATGATCGGCTCAGTTCGTTTATTCTCTCAAACACAGACTCCATCTGTGTATTATACTACTGAAATATTATCAAACTAGCTTCCGCCCGCGGCTTCGCCCGCGTGGTGTTTTGATAAAAAGCTCAGCCCGATCGGTTTAAAACTGACAAAGTTTCATACAAAATTTCATCCCTTTTTTATCCCCTTGGGGGTAAAATTCATCAAAATCCTTTCTTAGCGGATGCCTACGTCATAACATCTACCTGCTTGACAAATTTCAGTCCGATCCGTCCAGTAGTTTGGGCTGTGCGTTGATAGATCACTATATCAGTCACCTTTGAGTTTTATATATTTATAGTTTATATTGTTTGTTGTACTGCTTAGTTATTTAGATTTTTTTTATATATTGCTATGGGTTTAATTGCCTGAAAAAATAATATTTAATTTAATTTATATACTACCATCCATATACCGAATTAACAGACAACCTAATTTATTAGAAATTGTAGGCTACAGCTGCGTTATACCTTCAAATCTTCAAAACACCCAAGCTTAACAGAAAATGACTTTTTTCAGATGACAGATTTCTTCCGGACGTTACTGGAGGACTCGTTAGAGAAGCTAGATGAGCCCATCACACAGCTGACCACTCTGAAGTTGCAGCTGGAGCAGGACAAATGGCGGCACCAACAGGAGATCAAGGAACTCAAACATAACTATGGTATGTAGTCCATAGACATTTTTTTTTGTGACAAAAACTACTAATTACTTCTGCTACTTTGGCAGCTATCCAAATGTCCTAATGTCTCATTAAAACTTACAGAAAGTTCATTATATTTATCTATTTCTGACCGGTCCTTCACATAACGTTTTATATCAATTCTGGCTTGTGTCGCGCGGTTTCACTCGTGTTCGGCTCCTACAAATCGTAGCGTGATGTTTTATAGCCTAAATCTTTCCTCGATAAATGTAACTAACAAACACAAACATAATTATTCGATTCGAACCAGTAGTTCTGAAGACTAGCGCGTCCAAACAAACAAAAAAACGCTCCAGCTTTATAATATTAGTATAGATGTCTTGGTTAGGAATAATATGCTAGCATACATTCATATCTTATTCATACATATATACAAAGTATTGCCAATATTGAAATTATATACAATATTGAAATTGAAATAAAATAAAATAAAATAAAATAAATGTTACAGAACTAACAATAGCAGAGATGCGCGCGTCGTTCGACAAAGAGAAGCTACGAGCTGTGAGCGAGGCGAGACGTGCGTCACAGGTCGAACTGGAGGCCGCCGTAAAGCAAACCAAGACTAAACAATGGTGAGTAAAGAGTCAAATCAGATATCTTTTGGATAATATGCAAGCCTTTGAGGCTCACACTGCGAAACAAAACACGTCGCCGTTTGTCTGCGAGGCCGAGTTATCACTTTGGTTCAATTGGCCCCTTCTTCCCGAAGCATGGCTCTCCGAGTCTTTTGAAATACCTTTACTATAATATCAATAAATCTCTTGGAATGACCTTTAACGCGCACCTCGACGCACCTGTGCGTTCTATACATTAATGTATAGAACGCACAGGTGCGTCGAGAGCACACAGAGTAGCGTAAGGAAACGCACATACGCGTCGGGGGCACTGGATGCGTTAACCGGTTTTACTTACGCAATTTACCTGTAAACTGAGGTAAACTGGTTGCAAAATCAACATTCTATACAGTATTTTTTATAAGCATATGACGAGGTAACAAGCGATCAGACTGATTTCCTGATGGTAAGCATTTGACGCCGCCCATGGACACCCACATTACTAGAGGAGTTGGAAGTGATAAGGGATTGGGGATTTTGGGACTGCGAAGGGATGGGTGTCTGTTAATCTGAGTCTACGGCGAATAACGACACTGTGATTTTGCTGCATTACTGCATTTTTGCTGTACCTATGTTGGAGCCTGTCCAGAAGGACAGAATTCGCCGCGATTATCTCCTGCGTGTCATGCACGACCTTTTCGCCCAGAAAAAGCGTACCTACGCGCGAGCATCTGGGGATGAATTGAAAAATCTCATATCGCCGGCCGTTTTTCTGTTTTTTTTTTTTTATGTAGTAAGTCGGCAAACGAGCAGACGGATTACCTGATGGTAAGCAATCAGCGCCGCCCATGGACACTCGCAACAGAGGAGTTACGAGTGCGTTGCCGACCTTTTAGGGATCAGGGATTTGGAGATCCAGGGATTGAGGAGGGATTGGGGAAGGGGAAGGATTGGGCCTCCGTTAACCTCACTCACACGGCGAAACACAACGCAGTGGTTATTTCACGCCGGTTTTCTGTGAGGCCGTGGTATCACTCCGGTCGAGCCGACCCATTCGTGCCAAAGCATGGCTCTCCCACACTTGTTTTTTCTACGTATAAAATTCCATATCAAAATGTTGGCGCTCCATTTCCCTGGGTACCTGCACTCGCTCTGGGGTTCGCGTGCATTACGCACGGATCACGCGCGAGTCGATAGTCTGGCGTAGTACACGCGATTTACGTATTGCGTATATTGAATTCGCGCGATGCTTGTGAGCACCATGTATCGGTGCCTAGTATCTTAGTAAAGCGCGAATGATTCATGAATTCGTTTAGCGACGAATTCGGCCTTTTTGAATCAGCTCTTAGACGATTAATGAACTTATGGTATATTGTACTCGGCAGGTGTGCGAACTGTAGCCAGGAGGCGCAGTTCTACTGCTGCTGGAACACGGCGTACTGCGGGTACCCCTGCCAGCGCGCGCACTGGTCGGTACACTTCTCCGCCTGCCAGCAACAGAGACAGGTAAACTCATCCATCTATCAAACACTAAGCTCGTTTACCTATTATTGTTCTATTGCGTCTCGGAATTGCCACAATTGAATGATTAATACTGCTCTTGGATTTGAATCTTAATTCTAAAAAGTCCATCTGTCACCAAGCTGTATCTTATGAAACGTGATAACTAGATCCTTGATGTATTATTGCCCCTCTAAAAAATTAAAAGTGATACTTTCATACCGAACCAGCGTTCTATTCTAGGCAGACCTTGAGAAAGATAAAAAGAAGTTTAAACATATTTCTGTTAATCCGAATTTATTGTCTATGTACACTTGTACTAATTATTGTTATGTTTTCAGGATGGCAGCAACGGAGATTCACCCAGCTCTCCGAAATCTCAATCTGATATGCCAGTAAGTTTATAATAATATTATCAATACAAATAGTGTTTTTTTATGGGATAAATCGGCCAAAGAGGAATTACCTGATAGTAAGCAATCGGCGCCACCCATGGACACCCACAACATTAAATGAGTTACGAGTGCGTTGCCGGCCTTTTAGGTATTAAGGGTATTAAAGGTTTGGGCCGAGTCGAGTCAACATCACAACATCAACATCTCACAAGTGTTTTTTTTAGATTTTCTAAAAAACGGTTATTTACAATCAATCTATTTGCAGAAATTTTGGAAGCAATATCAAGTGTCTTTGCTTTGCACAAGTTTTAGTACAATTATTCATGTCAAAAATTATGGATATTGTTATACCGATTTTAATGAATCTCGGACCTTGAAAATGACAATAACGTGTTTGTATAAGAATTTAGAGAGAAGAGAACAGATTATTTTTATTTGTCTATTAAATCAAGTTAAAGTTTCTTTTTTAATCAAATATTCTTCACATTTTCATTATAGTTGCTCTAGTTTTGTATGTTGTATCGGTGTGGTCGGTGTTACAAAATGCTCACATATTTATTACACAGCGGGGGTGTATTGGTGTTACAGAAAACGCCGGCTCCGACGCTGACTGTCGGCGGCAAGGTCGCTACCTCTCGCGCCTTCAACCAAGACCAAAATAGCACATCGAAGGCTTCTATTATTGGTACGTACATTTTATGATCGCCTTATAAATATCGCCGGGGTTGCGGGGGGAGAAGGAACAGGGAATTTTTTAGTCAGTAAGAGTCTGACACTCTCTCGCCTTACCTTGGGCGGGAGAAGTCATTTGATGATTTCCCCTCACAAAATAAACCTTATAAATATTACTAGCAACAAGATTCATTAGAAACAAGAGGCATGGGATACATCAAACAAAATGTCGTGGTTGTAATTCCCGATCGAATTCCGCAGTCGTTCATGTCAATGTGGTGTTTTAAAAACCAACTTTATTGGTGAAAAATTATAATGTTTGTCATGAACAAGAAAATACTACACCAAAGCACTGATATGTATACTTGTGTGTTGTACTTATTTACTACAAATGAACAAACTTTATAATTTCAGTAAGTATGGTCGAAGACACGAGCGGCAACCAGACAATGAAATGCGTCGGCACCTACAAGCAGATTAGTACCAACCAGCTCTCGCCTATGATCACCAACAAATCAGTACGTATTTACAATTTTTTTGGTATACCAATATCAATAGAACAAGATTGAATATTTCAACAATTATATCTTGATCCTGGTGCCTAGTTGCTTTATGTAATTTGAACGAGCCGGCTCGACCGGGGATGTGCCTTAATATATCGTTAATTGTTTGTTATGCGTTATGCAATTTGAATGAGCCGGCCCGACCGATAATGTGCCATATCTCGTTATGTTTCTTATGGCATAGGGCGGCAAACGAACATATGCCTTGATAATAAACAGCACCCTCAATACAAGAAGGTGATTACGATGCGATTGAGCCTCCAGTAACCTTACTTACACGGCGAAATATAATGTAGGCATTATGTAACGCTGGTCTTCTGTCTGACATTTGTGATTACTTACCATCAAACGGGATGTAAGCTTTATTGCAACCGATATTTTAGCATTAAAAATATAGATAGTTTTCCTATGTTTCGATTTATGAACTAAACATTTTAAAAAACAGGTACCGAGCAATGAAGAGAGTCAAAACAAGAAAGTGGTATCTTCTTCAGGAGGGTACTTAATAGTGGGCGGGTCGAGTAACTCGTCAGTCGTGGCTCCGGCGAGGCGGACGCACGCGATACAATACTTCTCTTGAGGCAGAGACTCTCCTGTTTGCTTCGATTTCTTCGAACGCAACAAGATGATAGGAAGAAAACAGAAGAAATAAACATGTACAAATACCGTTAAAGAGTGCAAGTGCAGTCCTATTGGAGTGTTCGAAAAGTGCAGTGCATAATTATGGTTGTAATTAAACCTTTTTTCGTAAGGGTCTATAAGCAATAAGTACTCTGTTACAGTAATTATTTTGTGGAATTGTCCACAGATTATAAAAGTACTAGTAATCTAGTTACTGGCAATATTTTTATATCATGCATAGACAATTAGCAAACAATCAAGTCGTTAGTTCAAAAATAAGCATTGTGGTTACTTTGATTGGTAGTTATTGTAAATGTTTATCGTGACTTGAAGCTGCTGTATCTAGCTTGAGTATACAGAACCATGCTCATAAATCAGGTAAATTAATACAAAAGTAGTTATTAAAACGCTAGATTTCAATGAGGTGTATGGGCAGATTAAGTGGTGTAAGCGCATTCACAGCGTTTTCAGGTATGTCTTATTCATAATCATTATTTTTACTTATATTTTAATAATGGTTATTAAAATATAAATGAGTTTCGTGCTACTCTAGTAGCTTTTTGCTACTTTTTGTGTCATGATTGTAGCCTAAATAATTATTGTACAATTGTACAAAGCCAAAATTTCAAGTAGCAAATTACTAGTTAAATTCTTACATAAATTGTTCAAAGTACGCAAGTGGCTGCCGCTCTTAAATTAGTCTTGGCTAGAGTTTCATTTTAGTAGAAGGTAAAATTTTTAAAATTGTAAATATATGTCATTTTAGGAAAAAAGTGGTATCCATTTTATGTCGATGATGATCTAAATTGAGTCAAGTTTTAATAAATTTTGATTGCTGGGAATTATTCTGTAATAATGGAAATGGTCAAAGTGGGATTACTCATTAATATGTTTTGTTTTTAAATCAAAGTTGTTATATTATTTTCTTTGTAACAAATAACGGAGTTCACTCAACAAAGTGAATCATTTTATGATTAAGTTAAATTCGCGTTAAAATGTGTCTTTAATAATTTGTTAGCTATCTTGCAATAAAATCCAAATTATTGAAGTCTTAATGACTATTTTGCTTCAATGCTGAACTCATTTGTTTAATGTAAATAATGTAAATGATTAATGTTACGTTCTGAGGAATAAAACGCTATGGAAATGTAAATAGCAACGGTAGTATGTCTGTTGAGACTTGAAAAATTGCTCACAGTGGCTGCCTGCAGCAGTCTAAAACGAATAGGTCTGGTTGTAACAAAATTACGTCATAAGGCGTATCGCTATAGTTCGTGATATACGGTGTTTGAGCGCGATGTATAAGCAAGGGCTCTCGTGTCATCTGTCGAATGATAAGATGGATTATAAATAAATATGTTGATGCGACAATATGCACTCAACCATCAACACTGCAGTTATTCTAAACTGCCAAAAATTAATTGATGACTTGTTTTAATAATTGGGTTTACATTATAAAATAACATTTTTCTGATGTAGTTTTTTCTATGTGTATCATCTTACAATTTTTGTATAACGAAATATTTTTAGTCATAATGTTTCTAACCATACGATTACTACGTATTGTTATAATTTTAAGACTGTTAATATTAAGTTCACGTGTAATGTGCATTTTAGTTTTTACTCAGTATCGGTCAGCTAACAGTGGTATGTTAAAGGCTGAAGGCGATCCCTTCATGGTTTTAAATGGTGTCTGTTAATAATAGTCTGCAGCATAAAATAATTGTCAAGCGCAGAATAGTGGCTCATTGAGAGTGTTTATTGATTGGACAGACATTAATTCTTGATTACACTCTTAATTTATCAAACTTACAATACCGCGATTTTTAGGTTCTCCCACATCAATGTTAGCAATATTCTCTTTCCAAGCATGAACAGTAGGGTCGTCAAATAATGTCTTTCTTGTAAATAGTAATTTTATGTTACTATTAAGAGCTTTTAGTACATTATGGTACCTACAAAACTGTTTCATTCAAGTAATAAATGATGAAACTGATTTCATTCTTTTATTTCATGAATAACCTTTTTTATTATGTAGTAGTTTTATATTGACGGATTGACAAAGGCAATCCCGTTTACGGATTCCTAAAAGAAATCAGTAAGTTGAATAGAAAGGTGTTAACATCCGATTAGGACCACACGAGATTATAAACCATTCGTCAGCAAGAAATGGATACGTATTGCCGTATGAGTACGTAGACAATATTTAATGCAACAAAGGTTTCGAGTTACGTGTGAGTTGTGTTGTGTGTGGTAAGGTATACCGTATACAAATACCTTATCAACAGGCATGCGATTGTATGACAAGTATTCTCCAAACAAATTGTACTCGCCGCGCTTCCATAATTACTTACACATATTATTATATATAGTACATAACTTACCTACTAGCTTCCGGGCGCGGCTTAAAACGCGTAGAAAAGTTATATATCCACTATCCCGGGATTTTAAAAGCAGCAGCAAAGGGATAGCTCGAGTAAAATACGCAAATCAACTATAATTTATAGGCTATGGCACTTCGGAACAATGTAGTTATCTATCATTTTGGAAATCCGAACAGTGGTCCCAAATAATATCCCCTACATTCTAACTTGCTAAAATAGATAGTGATTAAGTTAGTTAGTATATGGGCCTCTTATTTGCAAGTTACTTGATCGGTATTTAGAAAACAGTTGTGAAATAAGAAAAAGGACAAGGCAACAACAGAGAAGCTGCAAGTATGTTGCTGGCATTACGGGATCAAGGGGTTTTGGATATTCAAAGATTGGGCTGCCGGTAACCTTACACGGCAAAACACAACGGTGTGATTGTTTCACGCTGATGTTTTGGAAGGCCGTGTGATTGACCTAATAAGAATATTAAGAATGCCCATTCCATAACGAGGTTACTTCCAAAGTCCTAACCTATAAATCAGTTGGATGCATGTCCTTACTGACGTCATGCATAAGAGTTTAATATTTTTTTCAGCGGAGACTTCTAATGTTAGAAAAAAAATATTTTGCAATATCTCAAAATCTATCATAGGTCATAAGGGGGCCTTTGCCCTTCTGGGTTCAGTTACACTTACACACACAGAAAGATTATTGAAATCCTACTTAAAGAGTAGTAGACCTTTATTTTACAAAATATTGACTCCTATAATTATGTCACTATTAACCTCTCCTGACGCAAGTACTCAATGAGTTAAGTTACAACCTACCTGAAGTACTTCAGTTTTTTTTGTTTCATAACAAGATTTTATTTTAAGTGCTATGAAGTGGGTTTAATCTATACTAATATTATAAAAAGGTAAATTTTGTAAGTTTGTATGTCGCTGGTCCGCTGGTCGGATTTCCAAAATTCTTTCACTGTTAAGCTACAATATTCCTGAGTGCTATAGGCTATAAAATATCACGCTACGATTAAATGGAGCCGAACAGCGGGTGAAACCGCGCGAGCTAGTGTTGTTATAATCACGGGTTATAATTATGTAAATAAAACAAACTGTATTTAATAGGTAATGAAAAATGTATTAAAGGTTCCGTAGGTATGGTATATATTGTACTATTATGTTATATTGTACTTAAGACTTAAAATATCAGATTTTGTATAAAGTAGGTAAGAAAAAATAAACTGTTTTTTATCTTTGACTTTTAACTTAATGTCTAGCTAACTAGGTATTCTACTCACAAAGCTTCCAACTTGTTACACGTATTTTCATAACAAATACTTATGTACCAATAAAAACACCAAAACAGGCAGTTTGAAATAATTCTACACTGACTGCCTAAACAATCTCACAGACCGCTGTACTATGTGTACAATCTAATCACGATACATCCCTCATGGTGTAATTTACACAACAAAACAAAAAAAAACTTAAAACTAGGTAATAATAGAAAAAAAATATAGAAAAAAAGTAAACTGAAACAGTACTTATTTAGTTTTAATAATACTTTCTGGCTCCAGCCTTGGCTAGCCTGTCTGCCATTTCATTACCGTGGACACCCTGATGAGAAGGCACATGTTGCCACTTGACCTCGAGGTTGCGCTGGGCGCGATCAAGTTCCCTAAAGTCACTTTCATTCTTCACTGGCTCTCCAGATGCCCTTCTCCAGTCGTTTTGTTTCCAAGCTGAGAGCAAAACAACAATATTTCGTTAAAAACGGATCGTTTTCGTTCACTGTAGGATCTAATAGTGCAGGCACTTTAAATGTGAATTAAGAATAACAATATTTAGGTGAATGCATTTCTACGTATTTTATAGGATATACCTACAAATAGTTATTTATAACACATTTAAAAGTAAAGCAAGTTATTTGAGCATTAAGTACCTGGCATCCATTTTGTAGCAGAATCGATTAGGAATTTCGAGTCAGTGACGATCTCCAACTTCTCGATGCCATTTTCGTGAGCTTGCTGCATGGCTCGCGTGGCGGCTTGGATCTCACCGCTGTTGTTCGTAGCCCGACCACTGACAGGGGCACTCACGTTAAGAGGATGGTCATCTCCCCAGTAGACGCCATATCCAGCTTGTGCTCCACTCCTGCCATTGGATGAACAGGCTCCATCAGTGTAAACTTTTCTGAAGCCGTCACCCATATTTAGGCTGTTGAGTTTTAAAAATTGTTTAGTTGAGCTTTTGTTGCGTGATTTGTCCTCGATAGTCAAGGGTGAAGTGCGGCTGGGGTCCGGCGCCGGCTCAACTCATAGGACGCGCTCCGTTCGTGGAATTCTTTATTTGTGTATGTGTGAGTACCTATATGATGAATTCCCTACACTCAAATTGAGCTTTGATTGGCTGTCACTTGACCTTGAAGACAAAAACGCCAATAGAATTTACGATAAATGTTTCAATGATCGAGTTACTAACCCAATGATGTACGGTAGATCTTTTGTTAGTCGTAACCTTATAGGTAGGTAGGTACACAAAACACAAATAAATACTAACAAAGCGAATCTTTCGTTATGATGAGCTATAGATAGTTTTATAGGTAGGTACTTTAAGAATCGGTGTCGATAAAGGGCCAGAAATACGGAGAATAAATTCAATAATTAGGTAATATATGAGGATAATTAGGTACACTAATAGCAATAAGTAGTAGATACGTTTAATTCATAAATTTTAAGATTAAATAATCAATAGCGACTGTCCGGTTGGCGCAGTGGTTAAGGAACGAGGTGCGTACCTACGCGCGGTTTGATTCTTTAACTCATTGTGATAAACACTAATTCCGGATTGAAAAGTTGGTATTAGTCTAAAGTACAAAACATAGTCGATTTCCGTATGCGTACCTACTTCTTTTAAGCTACACAACGAACATTGATGCGTCTTTTTTTATACAGAGTGATTGAAGTGAAAGGTTTATGTATGTCCATTCATCACTAATTATCCATTTATACATAGAACAAAACCAACATACATATGTATGCTTAAATCGTCAAAAGTACGTAATTATAATTATATTAATTTGTATTATCCATATAATTAAAAACTCTAGAGAGAACCTCTAGCTGTATTTTCGAGAAATAAAACAGGTCATGTAATGTATAAATTCTTTATATTGTTACAAGTTACACTTCAAGAACAAGTTCACAGCCAAATATTTCTTCACACCACGAAAAATACTGTACAAGAGATATCCAGCTATTTTAATTATTTACATAGTCATATTACCATCATATTATTATTATACATTACTAGTACTTAACAATAAATAATACAAATCAGCATTTTGGATGAAAAAGTAACAAAAAGTCTCAATAGTCAATAATTTTTTTTCATTGTCATCTGAGATTGAAATGATTTTTTTCATTCGACCAAAATATCTTGATTTCAATCGAAAATGAAAGTATGGAGTTTCTATCAATTAATATATTTTTAGGAATCCATTCAAAGTTTTCCACCTCTTTGTCTTTGTATGAAATTGATTTTTTTTAAGTATATTTTGTACAGAGCCCTGCTCTCTTCAGTAAAAAAATCAAAATTCAATTTCTTCCAGCACATCAACATACACTAATCTTTCAATTTCCTTAGTGGGTTTTCCACTTAATTATAAAAAGATAAGGTTGTAACTATATGATAGAAATTGAAGTAGGTTGATTTTCTGTTCTTTACCTATTTAATAGACTAGACTTTAGACTAAAGATTATACAATGATCAACAAGTCAACAACTCCCCAATATTCAATCCTTCATTTATGGCAAATTTTTATATATTACATATCTGTAGATTTGCACACTAGAGCTACAAATTTTTCTAATTTGGTATAGAGTGGAATTTTGCCAAATGATCATTCTAGATTCCTTGAAGGCAATTCTACAGATACTGGCTGTTAGTTACCAGAGACACTACCTAAACAAATCTTATCATTTATTGTACATAGCAGCACCTGCTTTAGCTAACTCGTCAGCCATTTCATTGCCATGTATTCCCCGATGTGCTTCAACATAGTTCCATTTGATCTGCAGCTTGTGTTGTACACTGTCCAAGTCTTTAAAATCTTTCTCATTCTTGACTGGCTCACCAGAAGCAAGCTTCCAGCCTTTACGCTTCCAACCTGAAAAAATAATGGTGTATTGAGTTAAAAAAAAAATTCATTAGCCAGAATAGAAAGGGAAGGCCCTTTCAAAATCATTAATGATCACTAAAGCTCAATAGATCTATCTTAAAAATAGTCTACAGAAATACAAGCAGTTTCATAGTATTATTGAATAGTTTTACATGACTGAATTTCTATTGTTAACAGTTGGAAATATGTCCTTAATATTATTTTTATGTTTATGATGTTATCTACTAAAATGCACTTAGGTACTTATCAGATTAGTTTTGAATGAGATATTGAAATTATGTTTGTTGCAATATTTGATGACATAATATGATTAAAATAAATCAAATATTAATTACCAGGCATCCATTTAGTCACAGAATTAATAACAAACTTTGAGTCTGTGTTTATAGCCAATTTTTGTATTCCATTCTGAAGAGCAATTTTTATAGCTTTAGTAGAAGCTTGGATTTCTCCACAATTGTTGGTGGCACGGCCGGATACTGGCTCACTCACGTTAAGAGGGTGGCCATCTCCCCAGTACACCCCAAGGCCAGCCCGAGCCCCACTCCTGCCATTAGCTGAGCAGGCCCCGTCTGTATACACCTGCACATAACCTTCACTATCAATATCAAATTCTTCGCCACCACTAGTCTTACGTCTCTTATTCTGAGGCGGTTCTATGAGAATAGTTTTCTTGGTTCCTTTCTTGTATATTTTATCTACACCTTTCTCAAATGTTTTCAGTCTTTTTTCTATATCATCCATTTGTTTCGTTATTATTGTGTTCAAGTCGTCTGAATCATCAGAATAATCACTATCATTTTCTTTCGCGTAACCATCACTAACTTCTGACTTTCTTTTAAGTTCTTTTGTAACATTTTTACTTTGCGTTGTGCTACTATAAGATGTTGATTTTTTAAGGTTATTTGATGAACTTGATAATGATTTTGACTGGTTGCTAATCTTTTTCGATTTACTGTTATTGCTAGAACCACTTTCTGCAGTTATAAAATCTTGAGCGCTTACAACTGAATCGAATTTCTTATACCTGGCACCAGGAAATCCTTTTACTTGAGCTTCGCAATCAGGCCAAGTCATAAATATACCTGTCGTTCGGCCTCTGGCTACTGCATAAAAAGGCATTTTCAAGATTCTGAGAGGCGCACTGTTTAATATTAATTTACTTTTCAAAAGAACGTTCAACCAAACTACCCCCGACAGTGACATTTGTTTCAATATTTACCTGATATCTTGACATCTGTCTGACGTCTGTCATCTGCGTGACAGTGACATTAATTTTAGAGGTGTGCCAATGCCAAAGCTTTACTACAAGCATTTTCACTTCAGCGATAGTAAATTGATCTTATTTCGTAATCCATTTTATCTACTTGAACTTGAAAAGTTTCCGCATATAATGCTATTCAATTAAATGATCGAGATGCCTATTTAGATCTTGTTAAAAAGAACTTAGTGTGTAGTTTTGCCTCTGGATTTGTTGCCTCACCAACACCATGTTAGATAAATGCAACAATGACCAACGTGTCACGTGTTTATTTCTAAAATTATATGTACTTTCATTGTATTTATGAAATATTGTTTAACAAGAAACAAACCAACAACAAGACTGCCCGGTTGGCGCGGTGGCTGGGCAACTGGCTGCCGCGCAATGTGTCGCGGGTTCGATTCCCGCACGGAACAACTCTTTGTGTGATCCACATATTGTTGTTCCGGGTCTGGGTGTGATATGTGCATGTGAATTTGTATGTTTGTAAACGCACCCAGGAGAGGAGAAAATCCTAATGTGGGCAGCCGTTTAAAAAAAAAAATAATAAAACCGACTTCAAAAAGTAAACTAAAAAGCAAAAAATAAATTTTTGTACGAAGTAATACATGTTTTCATTTAGGTAAATATAATGTATTATAGATAATATTAATAAATATTTTTATATTCTCGAAGTCGGTGCCAAGTAAATGCTGAATTGTTTTACTTGGCACCTGGCACTTACTTGGCACCGACTTCAAGATTATACAAATATTTATTAATATTATATTCTATTTACCTAAATCAAAAAGTGTATTACTACGTACGAAGATTTATTTTTTTCTTTTTAGCTTACTTTTCGAAGTCGGTTTGTTTTTTGTTAAAAAATATTTTATTTCACCATTTTAAGTGATATGCAGAGCAAGCAAGGACAATGCTTTTCGAATGAGAAGACGACGGCTACTTGAGACCGAAAATCACGGTAATGGTAGTCCTGAGTTAGTCAGTGTTTAGTGCTGTAAATCGTTGAGGAATTCCCTCGACTGTCAATGGTCTCTATCATCAAGTATACTGCAGACCTTCATTATACATAATCCATATTGGTGCAAAGTTTTCATCAATATAAATAAATTAAGTTGAAACACAACATAATTAATCCAAATAGTCAAAGAGATCTCACGACGGTTTCTCGGCTACATCATCAGGTTTACTGCATAACTTCATTGTAACCCATATAGGTGCGAAGTTTTCATCGAAATAAATGAATTCAGCCTAAACACGAGGTACTTACTGTAAACCGTTCATTAGTTCCCTGAGCCATCTTTCGTTTTCATCATCAGACCCCTAATGACAGTCACTACCAGTCTTGTGCAAAGCACCAAGACCAATTATTCAAGCCCAAACACAAGGCTGACTATTTGGAGTAATTACTCCAAATAGTCAAGGAGATCCCTCGACTGTCTTCCGGCTTCATTATCAGGTCGAGTTCAACCACCGGCAAGTTGACGTACCTAAATACTTGAATAACTTCAGAAAATATAAGAATCATACCTACTGACTATCCCTAAAAAAATTTGAAAGTTCCCCTCGATTTTCCTGGGTTTCCAGATCATCATCAGATCCTGACCTGGTGAATATGGGACCACCTGGAAATCATAACATACTGAACAATAAAAAAAAAAATCCAAATCGGTCTTAGGCGTCTTTGAGTAATAGGTGAACAAACATAAAAAAAATATAAAAAGAAAATATCCCGACGAATTGAGAACCTCCTCCTTTGAAGTCGGTTAAAAATGAAAAGTAACATTTAATGCGATTTGATAACACCTTGAGTAGGATAGAAATAGGATATTTAACCGTGGGGTGCCTGGCAGAAAACCTCCCCGAGTGCTCGGTGGCTGCTGGTCCTCTTGGTCTCTTGGGGACGAGCAGACACCGGGCCGGTGCACCCTGGGTGCGGGCAACAGTCTTCTCTTGAGATTTGGGGAGGAGAAGATTGTTGCCCGCAGCGAATTTCTGCCGGAGCGTAGGAGTCGCTCCCGAGGGCTCCCTATCTGCGCTCTACAGCTACAGAGTGCACGAATAGGGAGCGAGATTCAGATATGTGCGGTATGGTTATCTACCCGGCGCAGATCAAAACCAGGTGATCGGATCGCTTCTCAGATGAGAATGTGACTTAAATGTGGAGGGGGCATACTCTTGTGAGTAGGTTGGACTTTGTTGAAGGGAATACGTCGTCTGTGGGCCATAGCTGATGTGGTCATCGGATGGCGTAATCAGAATTATTTATGTTAACATATATTATATTTTGTAGTGTATATATATATTTATATTATAGTTTTGATATATATTGAGATAAAGGGTAGGAGATAGGGACCACACCCTCAAAAGGAACCTTATGATGGCACATGAAAGAGAAAATATACCCCAGGGAGGTACCCACGAAGTGGGAGAATCCTCCACAGACCCGTCCAACGGCTCTGTCTGTCCCACGTATTCTGGGGGGGACAACATTTGCCAGAATTTTGTCAACGACCACTTGCGCGAACACCGGATACCGATAATTTGTAATGACCCGGTAGATGATATTTGGTATAAGAAGGATGGAAATACTACTCGTGTTGCGGAGTCGCTAGATTCTATCCCTGGCACACCCGAGCACCAGTATCTCGGCCCTCTAAGTTGAGGAAGAGAGAGAAGCGTCAGCATGAAACGGCGTCTAGTGACGATAAGTTACTGCCACCTCCCAAGGTGCCGACGAAGGCCAAGGAAAAGTCTGGCCGTGATGGAAGAGGTCGCTTTTCGCGGCCAAATACGTCACGCTTTAGTGACGAGAGCGATACGGACGCGTCCCGGGTCTCGGTTGAACCAACAATTCAACGAAACTCTGAGGTGATGGATTTGGAAGCTGCTTGTTCCACACTGCCGTCATTGAGCACTGACACTTCGGTGGCAGGACTGGAACGGACAGGCATTCAGAACGTAGAGATTCTTCTGGAGTCCATTCGAAAATCAAAGAATCTTAAAGGTACAATTCAACGTACTATGAAGGAAGCGGCAGAGAAAATGCGCTCCTGCGTCGAGATGCTCGCTGCCAGGAGTACTACAGAAGAAACTTGTCGCCTCCAGCTGGAAATTCAGCGATTAAGGCAGCAGATTGGAGCTCAGGACAAGGAGATTGCGGCTCTCAAAGAGGAGATGCACTCAATGCGTCTCCACTCTGTGAACTTGCAACGTCAGCACCCACAATCAACAGAAAAGTCTGCAGTGGATGAAGAGCTGCTGCGCAGTGTTATTGACCGGGTAGGCAAAATGTTAGATGCTCGTATGGCGGGGATTGAGGAACGCCTCCTACCACAGGTAAATCTTCGCCCTCCATTAGCAGCCGATCGAAAGAAGGCTGCCCAAGAGAAGCGAAAGACTGCTGCGGCTGTAACAAGCCATTCGTCCGAAACCGCTACTGTCATGGCAACTCAAGCCTGTGTGTCGGAAACACCGTCGGCCGTGCAAACACAGCATGGTTGGCAAACTGCCTCTAATAGAAAGAAAGAGGAAAAACAAGAAGAAAGCAGCTGCGACGAAAGAGGCCGCTTCTGCTGTCTTAGGCAACGCTCAACGTTCGTCAGCACAAGCCAATGGACGAAAGAAAAGACGCGAAAGCGACGCAAAAAGCTTCGTGCACCGAAGTCAGCTGCTTTAGTTCTGACGCTTCAGCCTGAGGCAGTAGAAAAGGGGCTTACTTATAAAGATGTCTTGACGAAGGCCAGACAAGCAGCCAACCATGAAGAAAACGGTATCACCGACATTAGATACCGCAGAGCTGCAACTGGGGCTCGACTTTTCGAGTTTATGGGAGCCAATGGCGCTGCAGAAGCGGATCGTGTAGCTGAAAAACTACGCCAGGTCTTTCCGGAAGGTATTTGGATATCGAGACCAACCAAATGTGCCGAACTGCGCATAGTTGGCCTTGACGATTCTGTCACTGAAGAGGTCATCCGTGAGGCGGTTGCGCGCAGGACGGGCTGCTCCCAGGAAGCGGTGCGGGTCAGCGCAATTCGTGATGGTCCTGGAGGAGCTGGTACTGCCCGAGTTCGGTGCCCCGTAGCTTTTGCCAAGATGCTAGGAGAAGCCGGTCGACTTCTCGTTGGATGGAGTTCTGCCAAGGTACAGGTTCTGGAGACAAAACCCATACGGTGCTACAAGTGCATGGGGTCAGGACACACCTTCCCTCAATGTACTTCTACAGTAGATTACAGCGGACTTTGTTTCCGTTGTGGGAAACAAGGCCACATATCAAATACCTGTACTGCTAATCCTCATTGCTTGAGTTGCGAGGCAGCCAAGCTGCCCGCAAATCACGTAGTGGGAGGAAAGGGATGTAAGGCCCCAACTAGGCCAAATAGGGGAATTACGACCGCTAATACCCAGGTTGCTCCCCATAGTGAAGCAGAAAGGCCAAACCAAAGGCAACAGGAAGTACAAATGATTATCGACCACCCTAATGGATCAAGTCAGTAACCACAAAATACTCCAGGGGAATCTAAATCATTCTGCCGGTGCACAGGACTTGTTTCTGCAAACTATGGCAGAGTGGTCGATAGACGTGGCTGTGGCTGCAGAACCATATTTTGTCCCTCCTCGCCCGAACTGGGTAGGTGATGTGGACTCGTCTGTTGCCATAATTGGTTCACCGGATCCCAACTTGACCCCTCCTACACTCATGGAAAGAGGCTCGGGATACGTTGCAGTTAAATGGGGTGAGGTCATCTTATTTGGCGTATACTTCTCTCCGAATAGGGCTCTTCCCGATTTTGAAGATTTCCTGGACAGACTTGGGGCTTCTGTTCATCGGATGGCACCTAGCCAGGTCCTGATTATGGGGAACTTCAATGCAAAATCTACTGCATGGGGCTCCCCTAGATCGGATGTACGGGGACGTGTTGTCGAAGAATGGGCAGCGGTAACTGGCCTTGTTCTTCTGAATAGGGGGTCAAT